TTGAAGTTAACTGATTGCACAATCAGCAATATACAGATCAAGCAACATGAATTGCTATTTAAACCATAACACTTGAGACATTGCTAAATTTCTAGAGCTTCTGATGAGATTCAATCTCCCACTTGGAACTCAGCTGACAGAGCAAAGCCCTAGGAGCCCACTCCTGTTCTTTTTGGTCCTGCAATTAGGTGGTACTAACAAATTGTCAACCAAATGAAACTTCCTAAAATCTTCTTTTTGCTTATATAATTTACTATTTTTACAGACCTCAAGATGTTGATTGACATCATATTTTGAATCAATGTGTCATATATTTATTGAGCTGTATTTATGAATGGTGTTTTTTAATAGTAATTCCTGTTTTTTTTTTGTTTGTTTTTTTTTTTCTTATTTAAGGCTAGCATTAATGAATATAGCCAAACACAGAAGAGCCCCCAAGCAAAATCACAAGCAGTTAACGAGTACATCTTGCTTGGAAACAACTCAAAGTTTGCTAATAATGTTGTATACATGCCAAAGTCTTTCCCAGAAGTCGTGATTGTAGATGACAAAAACAAAGAAAATGTTTCGGTAAATTTTTCATATTTCTGGCATAAAAAAATTTAAGCAATCTCTTTTATAAATAAATTTAATTTTATTGTACATGTGTGTGTGTGTGTGTGTGTGTGTGTGTGTGTGTGTGTGTGTGTGTGTGTGTGCATGCAAATTGATATATAGATAGATAAGTTAACAGCCTGTTTGAAAGGTTACTGGACTGATTTGAGTCTCACTTAGAATGATTACAGTGACATCGTTCTGGTGTTCCAATTAGAACAATGACAAAAGGGAATCTTTATAGAGTGCCTTCATGATCACAAGCCACATGAGGGTGTTACGGGCACACCACATGTACAACAACTGTAGTGGCAATGGCTGTGTTTGATGGAGCGCCTCTCTCTTCAAGCAGTTTTGAATTCAGTTTTCCTTTTAGAATTGTTGTCCTATCAAGGCTAACGAACCTAATCTGTCGTGTAATTTACAAGGGTTTTTTCTCTCCTAGACTGGCTGCCATCCAAGGCAAGAGAGCCCAGTTTCTTCTGCTTCTTAAACCATAGATGTAGGGGATGGACTTATGCCTTTTCCAAGGGCATTAATTTAAAGTGAATGAAATAGACTTGGTCAAAATTTGAACTTGGCAAGTTGTTTCCACTTTCCACATCAATAATCATTCCACCATCCTCTCACCTTAAGTTTACTAAGAACTTATGGAAAGAACTCAGGAAATCAATAAATCAATGTCAAATGGTTGATACTTTCAAAAGTGGCATGAAACTAACTGTCCTTATGTCTTATTGCCCATCATAATTGTTTCGTTGGTCGGTTGCAATGATGCTATACAAGTGTCCTTCACTAATCCAAGCCTCTGATAAAAGCCTTAATTCTCAAAAAAAAAAATTAGGCTTAGATAATATTATGGAATAGTTTACTTAACTAAAGTGCAATCAAACACATGAATGTACTGGTAGCATAGCAGTTATCAGTTTGGCACTAATACCCTTGGGAAAGGCAGGAATCAATCACCTCTCCTCACAGCTGTGGGTTAAATAATAGCAGAATAGTTTGAGCTCTCTAGTCAAGTAAAAAGACTACTCTGTATTTAAAATTTGGAAGAAGACAACTGGAAACATCTCCACTATCTTTCCTTAGACGCCATTGCAATGCGCATATAATAAATAAAAAATGATATTGTGGCAATCCATGATCACCGGTGTCCTTGAAGGTCAGTCCTAATTGCCAGTGAAATGGCATGGACCAGATTAAGAAAAACATGACAAGATAATCCTGGAAGAAAACTTTGCAAACAGTTTTGAAAAGTCAAAGGGTCATTTGTAATAAGTGTGTGATCTTGTATATGTTTAATTATTTATTTTTTAATGCATGAATTTAATTCTCTTTATGTCTTATTGCCTGGATTACAGTGAAGGACACTTGCATAGCATCATCGCAAACCCACCAACAAAACAATGATGATGGGCATTGAGACATTCTAAAAACTAATACAATTCAAATTAATGCAATATTTATCATTTACCTACTGTTATCTTCCGTGCTAATAGGAATATATACTTGAAATGGATCAAATAAGTAAAGGTTTATTGTAAAAACCAATAAGAATAAAGGTAACAGTTATGCACACGATCATCACAAGTCAATCTAGTAGTGAGTGCTACTATTGGAAGGTTGGTATTTCTCGTGTAAGTTCCAGCCAGACTCTGTAGTCCGTTGACTTACAGATACTTATAGGTAGTTACTACCTATAGTGTAGTCACTCATGGGGGTGACTGGTTATTCCATTATATCACCTACATATAAAGAAATAAATGTGAAAATTTCTTATTCATTAATTTATAAAGATTGAGTCAGTTGGCAATTAGCCAATGTTTTTGCTAATCATTTCAATAAAAAATCTAATATTAGTTTATTATTTCTGTTACCAATTCTCAAGAACAAAGAAAATGTATAAATTCACTTTCATATGTTTAGGTTTTATTATAGTTCTAATTGTCACTTCTGAAATCAATAAATATTACCAAAAAGTAAAGGTTTTATTAAAAAAGCGGAAATGGGAAAAAACTGTCCTTTTGACATTCTGTCTTATTGCATGTTTGCCCCAAATTTGTTTATATTGATTAATTTTTTTAATATTTATTGAGAGGCAGTACAATAGAATAAAGCTAATTCAGACCTTGTATGGACAGACCTTGTATGGTTAAGGAGATGTTGTATGTCTAATGAATATAAGATTCAAGAAAGAATCAACTATAATAGACTCAGTGGAGAGACTTTGCTTCACTGCTTTTATTTTTTGTTTATTTTCAGAATGATGACGATGACACTGCAAGTCAAAAAAAGAAAACCCATGAAGAAATGTGCTCGACATCATCTCCTGTAGATGATGAGTATGTTCTTTTAGGTAACAATGCTAAGTTCTCAGATAATATTGTCTACAAGCCTAAAATGTGGCGCGAGTTCATCCCGGGCCATGACAAAGGAAAAGAGAACGTGCCTGTAAGTTTGCTCACTTATAGTTTCTTTTAATTTGATGAGTTTGAAATGTTTTTTCTGTGATGTTAAGTATGTTGCTACTATTCTGTAATGTCTTGGTAGATTTTTGAATAAAAATATCATGCAAAAATACAACTCATCATTTGTTCTGCATGAAGACATCATAAAATATACAGATACAATAGTTAAAAGTGGAACTGTCACTGAAAGTATCGACTTTGTTTACTATCTGCATACAAGCTGCTTATATAGCCTATGATATCATGGGTAGGATTTATTAAACAAACATTAAATTTTCACCATTCTAATGACTAAAATGACACGGTAAATCCTAGGGAATGGTGGATGGAGAAATGAAACTATGATCACTTCTTTTATGTTTTGTATCCCTACAGGACTTAAGCAATCATGGGTCTCCACAACTGCCTATCTTTCATAACTCTAAGTAATCTTTGTTTCCTTACTATCCCTATGTTGTGTGAGTATCAAATTCTCCAAGCTCTGTTTCCTCATTATGTTTCCCTGAATTTTCAGTTATCTCTTTCTGATTACAAGTGTTCGTTTGGTTTCCATTTTCCTTAAAACTTCTTAGTTGCTCACATGATCCACTCATGGTATTCTCAGCATCCTTCTGTAGCTTCATGTCATCCCTTCTCATCTGTGAGGAGATTGTACAGCATTCGCTGCCATATAAAAGGATTGATATACTATAGCAGTTTAGCACTCTTTTCTTTGTTTCCATTGCCTTGTCTCCTCTTTATCTGTGAGGACATTGTCCAGCATTCACTGCCATAGAGGAGGATTGATATTAGATAGTAGTTCAGTACTATTTTCTTTGAATACTGACTGTATTTGAACCAGGATGCATAGGTAGTGTTTTGGCTTTTCTCATCACTGTCTTTCCCTCTTTAGTCATTTTCTGCATTAACAAACTCAATATTTCTGTTAGTAGGTGGAAGAAATGAAATGATTAGGTAATGGATTTTGCACTGTTTGATCTAAAATTAGTTTTGAGCAAGTTTTGCTTCTGAATGTTATAATATTAAAAATCAGGAAGAAATTGAGAGTCAGGAGTTGTTAATTAATCCAAGCATTAAGAAGAGAATATTTAATTTCCTGGATTTCTTACAAAATGAGTTTCTGAAAGGATTAGAAGGATTACTTTAAGAAAAAGAAAGCTATTTTTTCCAGGTGTTTATAAATTTATAACTCTACTTTTTTTTCCCCCCCAAAAAAAAAATGTGCAATTAAGTTGAGAATGACTTGAAACATTATTTACAGACAGTGGCAGATCTACTATAAAACTAATGAAGCTTAAGCCTCAGGGCTCCTAATTCCAGAGTGACCCTTGAACCAACTTTTTTTAATGAGTGAACTTTCAACAAAATTGATGGTTTTGCTTTAAGTGTTTGTTATGAAAAAAAAAGGCCATTTTAGTGACAGAATCATAAGCCAATAGATTAAGTAGCTAATATGGACCTTAGAATACTCTCTAATACCCATTTCATAGGGCCTCAAAATACCCTCTAATTGCAGTGCCCAAAGCCCCAACTATATAGGCTCATTGAGCTTGCTAGAATCTATTCATAGCCTATATTTATGACCAGGGATTGAACTCACAATTATGACACCAAATTCATGAACCATCATTTTAATCCTCGAAAGACTTAGACTTGGTGGACAAAGGATGAACAATAACTGAGCAGTACTAAAAACAAGAATGAATGAGATATCCATCAACATGGACAGCAGAATGATAGTAATCTATCCCTGTTGATTAAATGAATGGTTTCTGTTGGAAATTCCCTGTAAGTTACTTAGATTGATGGACAACAACTGAAATATAATAATAATAACAACAAAATTAGTCCACCTGTAAATAAAATTATTTCTAATAATGTTACTGTCAGTTCAGTTTAATAAAAACCTGTGCAGTAAATCAGTTTAACAAGAAGACAAATGTAAAATATACTTGTTAGCATGTGGAATTTAAGCATATGTTATTAGTTGCTATCTGCTGCAAACTTATTACTCTAGTATTTTGTAAATATACTCACCACAGTCAGTAGCATTTGGTTTGTGTCTAAAAACACATTTATAAATAACCAAATTGTTGTTTAAAAAAAAAAATCTGTTGAATTTTTACCATATCAAATTTGTTATTTGAGAATCTTTTTCCTCCATTTTTGTTTCCTTTAGGCAGAAGACACAAAAGATTTTCCAGTTCAAGCTAAAAAACTTGAGCCAGCACCAGTTATTGATACTTCAAAATTCCGTGAACCACCCCAGAAATGGAAGAAGGCAGTTGAAAAAGCTGATGAGTCAGAAATCATTATCAAAAAGAAAGTAATTAATTTGGTTGAAAATTTCTTTTCTTATTCATTTTTAAATTATTTAAATGTATTTGTATACATTACTAGTGAGCCATTTTTATTAGCTTTTAAAGCAATAGATAATTTCCTTATGTATAGAATGCTTAAAGTTGCAGAAGATGAAACACATTCTTGGTTATTATTTGCTAAAAAAATGTTATTGATAAGAATTTAATGAGAAAAAGTTAAAAAAACAGAATGTTTCCTCCCAACAAACATGTAATCAGTGTTAACCAAAAAAGTCAAACATGAATATTTGGACATTTTTTTTTTTTTTTTTTGATTAAAAAGAAATTATATATATTTAATTTTTTTGTTGTTTGCTAATTTTGGTTACCTCCAAATATATTTCTTAAAATAATTTATATCTTAATGGTATTTTTTACCAAAATTTGTTGATACATTTTTATTATCAGTTAGTTTTGAAACCTTTTCCAATAATTGTGAATCTCTGAATTGCTGGGATGAGGAGTTATCATTTATTTACATTATTTAGAGTTGTTATTTATGTTTGTTGTTGTTATCACGACTTTTCAGCTCTCTGGCCTTCTTCAGGTGTCTGTTGATCTTGGTAATCTTCATGGAATTTCAAACTAAATCCTTTATTTAATCTACAGGTATAGATTGTTCTCATTCCACTGTCCATGTCTAAGTTTATCTCATCTCGGAATTGAACTCACCATTATTATGTCATTGAAATTTACTGAAGGTTGCTTGGATCAGCAGACACCTGAAGAAAGCTGAAATGTACAACTGAAACATTATGTGATGTGATGACAACAAAAATGAGTACATTAGGCCAAATGTAAATAATGTAAAAAGTTATGAATTTGTTCAATTTAACTAATTTCTTTTGATTTTCTGAATTGGCAAGTTTTAATTTTTTCCCTCCATTGAATGGTAAACACTTAAGAAATTTTGTAGATTACATATCTTTATCATAAAATTTAATTTTATCTAAAAAATTTTATGATAATTTTCTTTCTTTTTCTGCATCATTTCTTTCATTATATTTATCACTTTTTTAATTGCTAATAATATTTACCATGAAAGATTTGTATTTGACAACAACAAAAAAAAAACTCTTTATATTCACATCTATTTTCTATCAAAGAAAAAATCTTCTGCAATCCAAGAAGGATCCAAAGAGGAACTGAGACTTCCTCTTGATGATCTGCCTTCTTGGAGTGAAGCAACTGATGAAAAAATTGCACATGAGAAAGAAAGCAAAAATGTTTTTAAAGTAAGCATTTTCTGTCTCTTTCAAATGTAACTGTGTTATTTGTACTGTCTCCTTGTCTTTTTTTCTTATATAGAGTTCAACCCAAAATTATTTATCTCCTGCAATATTTGTAATTTTTAAAAGATATTTTCATTCAAGAAATGCTTTATTTTTCCTGTCCCAAATTAACATATAAAGAAATGTAATGTTATAGTTGTACAGACTAATAAGAACACATCACTAAGCCACTCATGCATGAAAATTTACCTCTGAACTTCAATAATTAATATCGATGAGTGAGTTTGTGGCTTCAAGGGTTTTCTCTGAATGTGAATTCTTTTTCTCATGAGAATATGAGAAGATTTCTCTCTTTTTTCCCTCTCTGGTGAGGCACGTATATATTTTCCTGCCATCCGGATGTTCCATATGGGCACATTCTAAATGCAGTTGGGTCGACATGCTTGGGGCAGCTATTAACTTCTGAATCTGCTCCTGGTGGCTAGGAGGTTACCTTCTTAGTCTACCTGCCAATGCACCTGGCTTCTCTGATGAAACAATCAGTGCAAAATTTATTTTGCTATCATCTAGAGTGAGAATGAATCACATACTAGAGTGAAGAAAAATGAAAGAAAGAATACATAAGGAATATAGAGAAAAATATTTATTTCACTGGAGTATCAGTTGCAATTTCATCACAAAAGACATGTTCAAAATATTTATATATTGTATCTTAATCAGTTGAAAAGCCTTTACTAGCAATCAATCACCACAAATCCATCCAAGTGACCAAAGAAAGTAAAAATAAAATCAAAAAGCAAGAGACAAATCATTAAAAAAAAGAGAAAAGGAGACATAAGCTGAGAAGAAGAAAAAAAAAGACAAAACAGAGAGAGAGAGAGACCTACTCTCTATGTCTACATCTAAATGAGCAAGACAGAGCAAATATACTACCCAACAACACTTCTCAAAAAGAGGCAACACTCAGAATGCTACTCATGTTTCATGCTACCATGATTGTCAGGTGACCAGAATGCAAATGTATATACATATATCTGACTATCTATAAAAAAGATATGAAAAATCTTAAAAGAATTTTTACTCCCAATGAAATTGATGAGCAATATCTATTTGAACATTACAATGAAACTTATTCAGTCCTGATTGAACAGGAAAGATTAGTGAGGCAATAAAAAAAATATATATATTAAACCTACATGCATTGACATATGTATATCAATAAGACTAAATCCTAATGATGAAAACATAGTATACTCAGTATTTTTCAACATAATCTCCTTCCTTGTCAATACATTTACCACATTTCCAGGCCTTTGAATGTGTTTTTTTTTTTTTTTTAAAAAAACAAGTCTCAAATATCTACCTTCCTACAAACTGAAGGTTATTTTACTTAACTTTATATTTCTTCTTTTTTTCTCAAAATTGTACAACTCGAAATAAGGGTGTGTTGTTGATGCTAGGAAATATGGTAATTCAATGGTGCATAGAAATCCTATAGATCAAATACTATACAATGAGAATTCAGCTATTAACTTTGTGTTTTTTCTATGGATTTATTGATCCACTTTCATACAGGTAGACGAGGACAAGTTGAAAAGTTATTGGCTTGACCATTCTCAAAAAAAAACAAAAAAAACCTACAAATCAATATGATTTCTCATCTTCAATATGGCTGCTTGTTTTTAAGCATTCCCGTCTACTCAGATACATTTTTGTTTCTTTAACCCTCCACAGAGCTAAACTTATGGTTTATCCTGCAACTATGCCGAGCAGACCTTAGTTACAGTTCAAATATATACCCCACCTGGGCCACATATTGTTTTGAATCCAGAGTTGTCCTTCTCCTAGACTGGTTGCCAATCATGGCTAGAGAATCCAATCTGCCCTGCTACTTAACTGGGATGAAAAGAGAGAGATTCATACCTTTCTCAATGATATTTGTGTTCAAGTGAATATAACAAACCAGAGCAAAATTTGAATTTGACTTGACATTTTTTTCATTCCTGGCTGTTAACCATTACACTACCTGAACATCCTGACCAACTTCTCAAAATCTGACCAAACATGAGATATTTGTTTTGAATGCCTTCTTGATCAGGCTGAGAACTTTTCAGCACACCTTGTATTGCTAAATTTTTATCTACTTTTCCATCAGATATATTCTTAAAATTATACTCTTAACTATTAAGGCAATCTTACTGAGATTTATATTTGTGGTAATCACTGATATTTTAAGTAGCAGACTGACTACCTAAAAAAAGAATCCTTTTTATTTATTTTTTTACTCTAGTTTTAATTCAAATTGTTGACTATATAAGATTTGAGTGTCGGCAACTCTGTAAAAGTCCTTCAGTTTTTCTGTTTTAACCCCTGATTTGTACATTGCTTAAGGTTTTATGATTTTGTTTAGAAGTTACAGTTGTATCTTTTCATTTGAAAGGGAGTCCTTAAAAATGTTAAAAAATAAAAGACATGCCTAAGAATTCAAAGAATGTATTTCTATGATTTTGACCTAGCAGACTTCAGAAATTTGGGGATCTCATTAAACAAATTTTGTTTGAATCTATAATAATCTTTCATACAATTTTTGTTATGATTAGGAAGCAAAACAAGGAACCCCTTGCAGTGAAGATGTATCTGCAGGAAAAAGTGTTAAATTTCAATCTCCACCTCCAGCCCCTCGTCCATCAAAAACATCCAACATTCAACAAAACAATGATCAGGTAACCTTTTTTCACATCTCTTCAAAGGTTCTGTCTTCTTTATCAGTTTCAATGTCATTTGATAAATGAATAATGTTAAATTTACTGGAGCATCTTTTCAATATTTTGATTTTTCAGAAGTTACTTGCTTTACTCCATAAAGCTGGAATCCAACTACCTCCTCGTCCAACTGTGGATCAATCTGAATATCAGAAGAATTTTACTTGGAAAAAACCTTTGCCAAATTCTGGTACTGCTGCTGAAAATAGGGTAAGCATTTTTCGGATCATTTGTGATGTAATGCAAAATTGTATGAAGAACCATTTGAAATTGACAATTAAATGTTTCTAATCTGTTAGCACATTCAAACTGGCATGGAGAAATTGTAATCAAATAATTTATTAAATCTAAACAAAATACAGAGAAGTATCTTTTATGTGTGATGTCTTCTGTTGAATATTCCATCATTGTAAATGCAGTCAACTAATATGAAGCTCATTAGACAAGCATAAGGTTAATGGATTCTTTTCAAAACAAAGGACACCACACACAAGTATACATTCACTGGTCACTTCTAGTACCAATGTAACACCCCCTTTCAACATGATCACATCCATGGTCACTGGCACCAAATAATGTAACACCTTGCATCATTGTCTACACCTGGCGCTGTAACCTCATTTAATGGTCCGGTCCTCAGGGTCTTAAAATGATGCTTTAACCACGTGTTAACTCTGTGCTGGTCAATGCTGACACTGGTTCAAGCTGGTTGTTGGTCACTGGCTTCTTTGGTCCACACCGTCTCTGCCCACATTGTGTTCTTGATCTCGGAGCAGTGGAAGATCAAAGGTTGTAGTCTCGCAGTTCTGATCAAGCTGTAGTGGATGTTATATTAAGGAAAAAAAAATCTCTTCACGACAAAAAATAAAATGAGAGGTTCATTGGGTTAATCTTCAACTGGTTTATATGGCTCTTGGTACAACAAAAATTAACCCTTCCTCTCTAGTTACACTGGGTCTTGTCTAAACTTCTGGAAGTCTTGGAATCGGGAATGCTGGTATGGTTTCCAGAAGCACTTGATGTGGCTTCTCAGTCCAAGTTAATCTCCCCAAAGTCATCTGTTTATATGCATGTCAGTCCAAAACTGCTGTGGGACTGAAGGCTTCTGGGAATTTGGTGATTCCCCAATGTTCATTAATTCAAATAAAGGTTTTCTTTGTTCCCTATTTCTGCTTTCTTAATCAATTTTTCAAATTTGGAGAATTATCCACCTTCTTTGGGAATGGTCACAGGGATTGCTTCTCCCTTAACACCAGCCTGCTTCACTTTATATTTACTGCTACTTCGCACAGGTGGGGCTAAATTCTGCACCTTCCTCCTTCTTTCCCAGCATTCAACCTCAGCCTACTTCCCAGGGCATGCATAACTGTCTTTGTGACAAATCTAATTTTTAAAGCGTGTAGGTGGAAGGGTGGAGTTCCATTCCAGACATTAATTTTAATTCTCTAATTCTTTTCTCTTTTCGAAATTACAAACCAGACCACCTATGACAGAACTTGATTTTATAACTCCAGTCTTAACTGACCCGTTAAAAGAAATTTGTTCACATTTTAATCTTCCAAGCTATAGATAAAATTATTTCCCAATCTACTTTTGTCAACGAAAATATATTTGTTTACCTAAATTCTCAAGTAAGAGACAAAACTATTTTCCATCCATGGCCAGTCACATGTTTGATCTTCATAATCTCAACACTAAGAAAAAGGTTCATTCCTTGTTTTCGTCAACAAAAAATAGGATTCTCATCTGCTTCTCTTTCCCATAATGTGTTTTTCTAATTTTTCCAGGAATAGATAAACTTATTTCCTAAATCTGTTTTCCTCATTGAAAATATATTTTTTTATCTAAATTCTCAAGAAATTCTCTGTTCTCCATCCCTGGGCTGGTTGCTGTCTCATCAAAAACTCAAACCAGATCACCTTCTTGACACAACATGATTGATCTTCATAACTGCAACCCTAAGAAGAAGGGTTCATTCTCTGTTTTCATTTCATCAATGAAAAATATGTGTTTTCCTAATTTATCAAGAAAGAAATCCATTTCTATGAATCTGTTTAAGTCCACATGCCAGACTCTCAATAGATAAGAAAAATAAATTTTTAGGAGAGAAGAAATCCAGATGTTCCATTCTCACCAAGGAGAATATCTCCACTCTCTCTCTATCTTCCAGCCTATATTTCAGCCTATATTTCATTTTGGGTTAACCTTTTTCTTTTCCTGCTTAGAATTAATGCTTAACCATCTCACGACTTCAGTGTTACATCAGATTGGACTCCCTTTTGCCTTTAAAATCTCCTAAATTCTTAGCATGAATTTGACAATATTCTGGAAGCACTCTTTTGAAATTCAGGTTCATGCTGTTATTGTGGTATCTCCTAATGCTTCTAAATTGATTGACTGCACATCCAGGATTGGAATTTCTTTTTTTACCACATCCCAAAGGTGCTCCATGGAATTGATCTCTTGATTTTAACACACAGAACTCATTAGTGTGTTCCATAAAACAATCTTACATGGTGTGTTATTCTGCTGAAAGTAGCCATCAGAGGATGGTCACCTGCAATACAGGTAGGTTGTGACATTTAAACAATCTTTTATTAGTCACAAGAGTCTAAATATATACCAAGTAAATATTCTTCATACCATTGCACCAGCAGCTGTCTAAAACATTAATGCAAGGCAGGCTGAATACATACCATCAAATTTTTATGCCAAATTCTGACCCTAACATCTGAATGTCACAACCGAAACCAGTACTTATCAAACCAGGCAATGTTCTTCCTATCCTTTATTGTCCAGTTTTTGTGATCTTTAGCAAAAACTATATCATCAGTTTCTTGTCCATATCTGACAGGCATGGCACCCGGTGCAGCATGTTGTGTATTTAGAGATGTTCTTCTGTATACCTTTGTTGTAAAGAATGGTTATTAATGTTGCTTTTCTGTTAGCCCAATTGTCTGGTGAATCTCCTCCAAAGTTTTTCCTCAACAAGGAAGTATTTCTGCCCACAGAATTGCCACTCATTGGAATTTTTTTCATTTTCTGGCTATTCTCTGTAAATCCCACCTGTCTGGCACCAACAACCATACCACATTCAAAATCACTTATATCCCCTTTCTTTTCAGTACCATGCATCAAATGAAATTCAGAAGATTGTCTTGACCATTTTTAAATTATTTCCACGTCCTTAGCTGATTTACATGAAAGAACATTTGTTTACATGTACTTAATTAAGTGGCCACTGAATGTATATTAAGGTAAATAAAAAAGGTTCTTGTTACTATTTAAATGAAGAAAAAACTCTTCTTTAGCAGTGACTAATTGGCTGTAACTATTTATTAGTCACTGAAATGATCAACAAAGAATTTTTGTCCAGCTGTTCACTTCTTTTGAGCCTTTATTTGGGAAAAATTCAATTCAATGCAGACTGCCATGATTAGCAAGCTGTGTACTTTTGATAAGAAAAAGGTTTATTGAGTCTTAGAATAAATTTTTATAATGATTGAATATTTTTCTTTCAGAAATTATTTCAATCCGTTACAGTATTTCATACTGATGCCTCATACCAAGATCCCATTCCAAAAATCACTGAATATCAGAGAAATTTCAAACCCTGGATACCTTTACCCACAAAACCAGCATCACCATCCGCAGCTGATGAAAAGACAGTTGAACCTTCTGTACATAATGTGCAGAAGGAAGCCAAGCATCAAGTAAGCAAACTGTCTAAACATGAGCAAATCTCAAATGCAGAGCCGTCCAGTTGTTTTTCGCCTCAAGTGTGCAGTACAGACGAAGGCAAGGAGTCAAAAGAAGATGGACCAGACATTGGCATGGTAGCTTCAGAAATATGTTCTGATAAAAAGGCAGACAATAGTAAGCAGGAAAATAATGTAAGTACAAAACACAATCAAAGCCCAATGGTAATGTGCTGTACTGACAAATAAGAGGTCATTTATTTATACTGCAGGAAATTTTCCTGCAAAATCTGTAGATTTTTACAAAGATGAACTAAGCCCACAGAAGTACAAGCACCCTGTGAAGCTCAAACTCATTAAACTATGAAATTGGTTTGCAAGATGAGCTTGTTAACCATCACACTATGGTAAGAATCTATCTTGCTGGTATAGTGTCATAATCAATGCATCAGTCATTCAGTGACATCTCACTGCTAATTGAGTAACCCAGAAGAGAGTGTCTGTTTCCATATAGGCAGTAAGTTGCCAAGTTACATCAAGGCTGCAAAACCAATTCTTAAGATATGTAAAATAGTTGAATACATTCCAGACAGGGCTTATATATGTCAGCCAATTTCATGTCAGTTATTTTCTCCAGAAGTGAATCCACAAATCTGCTAAATCTGTAATAAAATAAAACTGATTGTTAAAAATACACCCAACAAAGACGTTTTATAAACTTAGTTTCCTCAGGCACCGGGCCTGGATTTGAAAATTAGGCAACTATAAGAAATCTATTGCATCAATATGTGTTTCTTTAGTGCAATAGTAAATATCATGTTTTGTGGGTGTGTGAAAATACAGTTCTTAATCAGCTTCTCTCCTGCTAAGATTTATTTACCTTGTTGTTGGAGGCCTATAATAAAACCAACTGCATCCTTTGCAGAGGGGTAAGATCCCCTTCAAGCAGCTGCTTTCTAGGTGCATGCTTGTAGGCTCAAGTTTAAATAGGACCAATGGTTGCCTAATAGACTTGAGTATAGACCCAAACTATGTTTACCAAAAGCCTCAAGTCAAACTTAGTACTGAATATTTTATTTAATTTACAGAGTAGATCGTTCTCATTCCACTGTCCATGTCTATTTTATTCTTATTTAGTACTACTCTGTTCTTCATCCTGTTTCCACTACTTGACCCAGGGATTGAACTTACAATTACTATGTCACCAAATTCATAAACTAATACTTTAATCCACTAGGCTATTGTCTCAACCTAGGACTTGGGGGACTTTGTTTTTTTATATTCAAATATCATGGTATTTGAAAATTTGAGTGAATTAAAATTCTTAAAAAATGAAAGAAATAATTCAGTATAATGCTTAATCATTTGTTTTTGTGTATGTGTTTATTTTTGAAGAAATATGTTGTTGTTTTTTTGTTTTCTTTTCTAATACTTATTTATTAATTTTCCAGGTAAAAAGCACAAAAAGTTTTGAATGTAAGTCTGTATTTTCTCTTGTTTTGCTATATGTTTATATTTTGAGTTCATTATAAATATTTCTTAAGTTAGCATTAACATTTTCACTTAATAAATTAATCATTGTTTGCTTTTAAGTTTTTTTTTGCTTGTTTTTCAGCTTTCAGTAATCCACCAGAAAAGACCAGACCTCTAAAACATCGAGAAAGTCAGTAAGTACCATTTTGCTAATGCTTCTCATTAATGATTAATGGTCTTAAAGCATTCAAAGCAGTGGTTTCTCCTGGTAACCTCATTAAAAGAACAATAAATATTAGTTAAGGAATATTTCATATTGATTCAAATAAAACATTGAATAAAATTTTGATATTGGAATTTTTACAAAATATTATTTGTGTCTTCCAAACAATTTTCAGGAGATGCAATGCTTACAAAAATTTTACAGATCTTTCTGTAGATTTTTTTAACATCGCCATTTCAAAAATGCATATTTTTTCTTTTGTTTTTAACTTTATAATGTTACTATATATTGATGCTTAGAAAAATGTTAATGTTCTTGTTTTTAATGTTTATTTTGTTGAAACAAGAGAAATGTTATATATGGAGTAACTAAAATATTTGAATAGAATTTTTTCTATTTAAGAAAATTTAGGACTTTGCAATAATCCATTTTGATTGATTGATGTCAATCATAAGTGATATCTATTTTTGTAATATTAGATTTTTTGGAAAATATTGTTTGGTTTTAGCATCAACCTTTTAATTATGTTCTAATATATTATTATAATAGTTTCACAAAAATATATTACTTGTTCCTAATCATTAAAGTGTCCTTTTTCTTAATTTTATATCAATCTCTTTCAAAATTTAATTTAAAACATTAACATTCAAGATGAGGCAGTATATAAAAAAAAAAAGAGATACGTTTACTTTTTGCATGAGTTCAAATTTGGTCATAATGCTTCTCAAACTACTGCCAAGATTAAGAAATCCTTGGGGTGAAGGATCCATTATGTGATTGGACAGTATGGTACTGGTTTCTGAAGATCAAGATTGTAGAGAACATCCATCTGCAATTGATAATCAACATCTGAAAACACTAACCAGAAAAAACCTACATCAAAATGCCAGAGAAATGTCTCAGGTAATGAATATCAGCACTTCAATAATATCGAACTGTCTGAAGAAAATTGGTATGGTAAAGAAACTCAATAAATGAGTTCCATATGAACTCTGTGAAAGTCAAAGAGTTTGATGTTTTGAAATATGTTTGATGCTGAATTGACAAAATTAAAATGATCCATTTCTTGATTGAATAGTGACTTATGTTAAATGGATCCTTTAAGACAATCATAAATGATCAGCTCAATGGTTTGAGGAAGGACCCAAACACTTTCCAAAACTGAAATTGCACCAACAGAACATTATGGTTATTGTCTGGTGTCTGCCATTTGGCATCATTCTACAGCTTTTTTACAGGGTTTATCAAAAAGGCTAACAGATAATCTTTCCCAATTGAAAGGATCCGACTAATTCTAAGATCACTTTCTTTTGAATGATTCAGAACCTTTTCCCAATTGAAAGGATATCTAGGCCTAGAAGATTAAAGCATTTAGTGAATTTTATGGCATAATAATTGTGAGTTCAATCAGGGCCTGGTTTGGGTAGTACAAACTTAGACACACTAGAAACAGTGCTAGCAATAAGTGAATAATTAACCAAAACAATATATCCTTAGACATGGATAGTGGAATGAAAACATTCTCTCATAGATTGAATAAAGAGTACAGTTTGAAATTCTCTGAATGTTACCCACATTGACAGATATGTGAAAAAGGCCAGGGGAACCACAGCTGAAACATTGAGATCATAAAAAATGCAACGACATTAGTCCAACTGTATATAATTGTGTATTTATTAATGGGTTAATCAAAGATATAATAATGTTTTCAGTTGAAACAATCCTACTGTAATCCTAAGATCACTAGATGTCATATCCCCAAAGTCAATATGGAAATTTTATTTAGTGAGAGAATATGAAAGTATCATAAAATTTTGTCTATGGCAGCAAGCATTTCATTGTAAATATTGCATTGCTAGTTTTTGCTGCTCCATTCTGTTCCGTGGAGAAAATTTTCTTTTTAAACTATTTTAAAACGATTATAGCTCCAAGATGTATAATTTTTTGATAACGTCAAGGTTGGTACAAGGACATATTCATAAAGCACTACCGGCATCAGATTCTGTTCTTTACTAGTGATAGTCACAACTTGCCATCTAAACCAAATTGCAATTTTTTTCTTTCCAAAGAAGTATATATGTTTCTCTCTTTAGGTGCCACAACTCTGAGTATCGAGCAAATTTCAAGCCTCCGTCCAAGTATGATTACATGATAAATGCATGGGATTCAGCGAGTTCTTTAAATGAGGTAAGATTACTTGAAATTCTATACTTTGATATTCAGTAAATATCTTGTTAGTCACTAAGTAAATTGAAACATCAGACCAGTGTCTAGGTTGTCTTTCATTAGATAACATGACAGATTTAGTTTAAGACATTTTTATGTTTATACATTCTTTTTTATAGATACAAATATTTAAGTAAATTTTATAATAAACAGTATTAACAACATTTACAAGTCTGAATGTCCAAGAAATTGTCATAGAAAATATGCGTCCTCCGACACAAAAATATCTTAAAATAATTGTCAGATTTTGTCCATTTCATAATGTAAGACAGATTTAGTATAAACAAAAAAAACAACTAGGTATTATTCAACCAGCATTTTTTGGTATTCTCTTTGCATTCTAATATTGCTTGTGCATAAGGATTCCTTATTTTTTAAAAATCTATTTATACTGATTGACTTTATAATAAAGATTCTCTCATTTTAATTCATATACATACATACATACACATACACACACATATATATATATAAACACACAATGTGTATTCACACATGAGATGATGCTGAAAAGTAGTCAGCCTAATCAAGAAGGGTTTTAAAAAAATCTGATGTTTGTTCAGTTGTTCATATTTTAGTAACTGGGTCAAGCCATGAACTTTTCAGCATCCTCTCATAAATTTTTTTGGGCTGTAACACTTTTCATACAGATACTACACTCTGATTCTAGACAGAGGGTTAGGGCACAATGACATAATCCCATCATTTTTTATAGGTACTATGCAATTTATTTGCTTAGAAACTTTATGAAATATTTTCTAGTTTGTATTTATTATAAAGGTGCTGCATAAAGTAAGTGGGTTGCTGACATGTAAAGAGGCATGAAACCAAATCTCCTCGTACTCTGTTACATTGCCAAATATCTTGACATAAAATAATGTTTCCTCCTGCTGCAATAAAGAAAAGTGTGTGTGCATGTGAAGAGTTAGGCAAACCACTATCTCATAACTACTTTACCTGCCTTAACAATAACTGTAAAATGCTGTTACTCCTATTACCAACCTTAACAGGGTCCATTTAGGGTCTTAAACAAAATGTTTCATATTTGTTGTCTCATAAATGCTTAAACTTATAGTTTTAAGTTTGACTTTACTTTTTTCTTTTGTTTTTTAAGAATATGTTACCTCTTGAAAGCGACAACTCAGGCAAAGGTGACTGGTACTCTGAGGTTTTAGACCTGCGTCGCAAGGCTGCTGAATATCGTCGTCGTGCACAAAACACACATTTCTGTGCTGATCACATGGCTCAGCTGCTATCAGATGAGACTCAGCTCTGGGAACATGCCAGCTCTGATACACCAACTCCAACAGAAAATTACTTAAAATACATAAGACCTGCTGGCATCACTTACAATAAATATTAGTAAGTAAATTATCAACTACATGGCGGGAGTGGGAGTCAGTCTTGCAGATGAGGAATGGCATTCAGATCTTTTTCTTCCCATTACCTGAAATTATTTTACTTAATCCTCAATGCTTCTCAATTTTTCTTAACATTTAGTGGAATGATTACAAACAATACGAAGCATACTTTAATATTACTAATTTTAGTTGGCTGATATTCATCAATTAATGGTGACTATTTGTGATATGACATCTAAATCTCATTAAAGTATACCTCTTCAATAAAAAAATTATTACAAGTACAATATATATCTGATTATATTTCTGAGATGAGGTATTGTAACTATTTACACTATTTACATCATTTGGACTGTTGTCCTCATCTTTATTGCCATTTTCACAACATTTCGTCTGTTGTATGCTATGACCATTCTTCAGGTGACATGCATTGGAATTTTGAGCCAAACCCTTTATTTAGTCTATGGGGGTAGATTGTTCTAATTCCACATGCCATGCCCTTTTCAGATATCTCAGTTTCAGTTAATTCCCTTTAGTAACTCAATTCCCCAAATTTTTTGTTTCCTCTGCTGTTACCAGGTATTGAACTCACAACTCTTTGCGTCTAGTCACGTTTTTGATATCCAATGCTTTTACTGGGTCATGTGTCTTTGGGAACATCAGTGAATGAATTTTGGGGATTTATGAATCTAATGTCTCAGTAATCATTTTTTAGCAGAGCTCATATTACAATTTTTTGTTATTTTTGTTTTTCTTTAGCTCTTTATATTACCAGTTCTCATATTGTATTCATGTCTATGCTTGACTGACTTAGGAGGTTTTTGTGGCCTAGCATGTGTGCTGATTCCTTAAGTTTTTGTATTTTCTAGTGATGTTCTCTGTTTGTTATTTCAACTTCATCCCACAAAGGGAATATATATGTTTAAAATTTGCTATATTTAGAAGAGTATTCAATGTCCTTAATTTATTTATATACACACTTTCTCCAACTACCCAACCAGCATAAATAAGCAATCTAAATGTCATGACCATAAATAAACTTAAGAACTAAGAAGGACCTGTTCCCTTCTTTACCCACTTAATCCCCCACTGACCTATATATACAGGGTAGTGTCACTGAATGCCTGAAGATCCCATTGAAACATGAAACTGACAGCATGTTCCAAATATAAGAAAGTTCCACTGAGACAGCTAAAAAAAACCCACCCCCACCCTGCCAAGATCTGCTACTTTGTAGAACAGATTCTCACATATGGTGCATCCTTGAAGACTTTAATCTTGATCTCTTCAAAGCATATATGACAACACAAAAACACAAACCAACTTGCAACACCTCAAAATGATGTAACCTTTGTCTCGAGGAGAAAATAATGATAATTACCTTCCAAAATAAGATAAACTTCTAAACAAAAGATTTTCAAATATAGACATGAAAATAAATTCCTTATGTGCTACCTACAACCACATCATGACCAAAAAGACTAAATTAAGATCCCATAACCTAATTCTAATAAACTTTATTTCTAATGCCAAAACACAGAAACAAAGATAATACAGAAGAGAAAAAGTATACAAAAGTAATAAATAAATAATTTAAATTCCTAAAATATAAGCATGGCCATAAATAACTCTAGCCTATTTACATACACACTTCCTCCAACCACCCAATCCAGTGTAAATTAGCAGTCTAGAAATTAACCTTAAACAAAAATAAAACAAGAAATAGTCAGTTTGCTCTTTCTCTTACCCCAATTTCCTTTAAGCCTCCCACACAAGTGGATTTTTCAGAAAAATAAGTTTCTCAAATCCACTGTTATCACTCTTTCTAGTATTGGTGGGGGTTTCCTTCCTAATCTTTTGTTTGAAGTAGAACAGAACATCAACATTGTCATTATTTTCTCTTCAAGTTACATGTCATATGCATTTTAAGTCTTCAAGTGACAAGGTTTCCATTATCTCGTACAGTTTTTTGTTATTCTTTAGTGCCACTCCATTAGGTTCAAAGAAGTATGGTCCTCAGTAAGACCTACAGCCTTTTTTCACTCAGACATTTTTAGTCTTTGCTATGAGTAAGGAGTTGTATACAGCTGGCACTTTAGCTATTTATGTACGAGTTTGTCCCCATGTATGAAATCTATATTAAAGTCTTGATCTGATGGGGCTATTTAAGAACATGACACAAGTTTGTAAGTTATTGTTTTGGTTTTGAAGCAGTTTGTAGTATTGGGTAAAATTGTCCTTAGCGCAGTCTGTATTATGTTCTATCTCCTATACTAAATTTGTTATAACCGATCCATACACCAAGGTATCTGAAGTGCATAGTATTTACTAATTCCACATCCTAAATTTTTATATGAGAGATTTGGGGTATGTGTCATTGGTACTTTCATTTCAATTCCAGAAGAGGAAATATTGAAATAATCTTTACAATTCTTAGGCAAAAGCTAAGTGCAATTTTCTTTTTACATTTGGAATGTGGAGGAAATAAAGGTGAACATTTGCCATAGAAATAGAGTAGTGAGAAGCTTGTAACATTTGTTTCTTTTGGAAAGAGGCTGCATAGTGGAAAATAAGTCTTCTCCAATATGACCATATGTAAAATGATTTTGAATGCTATCAAGGCTGGAAAATGAGGACTGTGTTGTTCCAGTCTGGATATGGCAGCAACTCTATTTTTGGTCGAAAGATGGTAGGAGGAGTTGGGTACTTTCTGCAATGATAGAATGTATTAAATGACCAGCAAGTTTGCACAAATTGGGCTTCATTAAATTTCATTAAATTTAGTTAAATTATAGAAACGATGCTGTTGCACGCTTCTGTTTTGTTTCATCGATCTGTCATTCACTGTCCCAGCGCTACCAAAAACATAGTATTTTTGGTGTTGTCACTTGGCTATTTTTTTTTTTTTTTTTTTTTTCACAGTCATCACTTGTTGACATCAGCAAGCTAGGAGATAACCAGATTCTCTGGGTATTTTCTCCAGTGGACATTGTGATTCTGTGGAGATTTCAGGCATAAAATACTTACAGTCATGGTAACTTTTTACTGAAAACTAATTTCAAAGCTCGTAACCAACAAACTATGTTGATATCTAGCAATGGATTTAATGATAATATTCAAGAATTTCAAGGGATATGAAGAGTAAAAAATTATCAATCTTTCTATGTAGCCTGGTTTGACAGTTTTTCAACAGGAAAATTATTCTAGCAGTAATTTGAAATAAATGGAGAGACCTCAGGGCAGTAACCTGAAGAGTAGGTGACAAGATAGACTGTCTGGCTTTAAAATTGGATGAACTTATCTTATCAACTGGTCTTTATCTGTATGCCTGTCCTTATCTCAGGGTATTGGCTAGTTTATATAAGAACTTCACAAACCTCTGGCATTGATTTTATCCTGACTTTTCTTTGTAAACTAGTTGGCCTTTTATTAATTCCCAAAGCATCTATTTTGGACTTGGTAAGCTATAAATGTTTATTAGGTTGATAGTATTTTAAATAAATTGAAATTTGGGAAATTTTAGACAACCATAAATCTTATCATGCTACTCTGGAGTCAAATGGATAGGTTGGGGGAAGATCTATTCTTACTAAATCTTAATGAATTCTACTTGATTTATTTCAGGTTCAAATCTTCCTAGAACCTTCTCCAAACCCATTTTATGTATTCTAATTAGTATTTTTAATTTGTTGTTTCTTTCCTTTTTTTCTCAATGTTTAATTAGTTTCTCAGAGTTTTCTCACAGTTTACTCATAATTAATTCCTGCTTCAAATCGTCATTAGGCATGCTCATTCATTAAAATGTTGAACCAGGGTTATCACCTTGTTATGTCCCTTACGCAGTAAAATGCTGAACTGGGGTTACCACCCAGTTATAAAAATCTCCAAAGTGAAAAGGTATTTGACAAAACTGGATAAACATGACCTTTCATTAAACGTGACCTTTCATTAAACATTCTTTTCAGCCTGCAACCGCCTCTGACTGCTCAGTTGCTTAATGATACAGAGCCTGAACCTCAAATGACACTGGAAGATGTTGCCGATGATGCCGATGTTGCCAGTGTCCATTCTGAACCAGAAGCTGATGCCAAAACTGAGGTTGTTCCAACAGAATCTCTTCAGGAAATTAATGATGAGGCATCACTGCAAGCAGGTGAAGATGCCAGAGAGTCTCTTATGTCACCTGTAGGCCGTGTTCCCACGCCAGTACTCCAGGGAGAGAATATACAGCGTCATCATTTGGACAGAACAACCCCAACAAAAGGAGGCCTCCTCATTTCATCACCCAACACAAAGAAAATAGATTTGGAAAATACTAGCGCTTGTAAGTAATCATTTCTATTGGGACATTTCCATTTTTGATTTGAAAAAAGGTTTTTACTTCGCCAAAATGGGTGACTATTGTAACGGGAGGTTACTATGGAAGAAAGATTTATTCTCCCATTTGAATTTCCCCCGTCATTGGAAATTATTATATCAGTGATATAATAACACTGTATTTCACAGGCGTAATGGAATAGGTGAATAGAAAAAGAATAACAAACCTGCTTAGTTTTCAGAGAGAGTTTTATAATGCTATGTCGTGCACTAAATTAAATATATACACGCCCCCTTTATTATTAGAAATTATAACATATGCAACAACAAAGAGTGTGTTAAAAAAAAAGAAAAAAAAAGGAGGGGGACCTTACTTGTGGTAGTTTCTCTATGAACTTGGTTAGGCCATGTGGCTTTTCCTATAAGACCTACCGCTGTGGGCTAGACATCTTTCTCTGGTCTCTAAATCGCAACCTCCCTCTGTCACTGTATCTCCTGACATCATTCATTAGTTGTCATGTGATCCATGTGACTATCTCAATGGAAGGTAGAGAATTACCATTTATATCCTTACAATATGATTCTTTCTGGAAATAAAATTGCTGAGATGAATTCAACTCTTGAGGGTAAAAAGCATGAAGCCAACTTTCCCTCTAATATCTTTTGCCATTCATCCATACTGTTGTCATTGATGGTTGAATAGACTTTTCTGTCCTGATAGTAGCAGTTATGACTCACTTCTTTTTTTTTTTTCTTTTTATTATTTTACTTCAGATCATGAGCATTTTAGATTTAATCACTTAATGTTACAATAGAGATTTTTGGTTTGCTTGTTTTTTTTTTTATACTATTTATAGTATCAGTTGGGATTTTCAGGATGAAAGTCGGTAAACATGAATGAACTTCACTTGAATAGTTCTGAATGGTTATTTTTCTTCCCATAGTTTATACACTTAGGAATATGAATAAAATCTGTAGATTAAAAAACAATATTTATTCTGTTTTCAAAACACTGCTACTCATTTGGAGTTTGGTTAAGAACAAAAGACAAAGGTTGTAGTGAACAATATTTTAATTCTTTATTTCCTTTTTAAAAATTCTCAAAACAGTTTCATACAAACTACAGAATTCTTAAATTTTCTATTGTTTAAATCTTTACTTAAATGTAAAAATGCTTCAGAATTGAAGGTGAAATAGAATTGCGCAATTGCTTCTCTAAGTTATTTTGATGCTCTACTGAATTCTGTTTAATTTTTAAGCTTTTTGAAGAAAGCAGAGAATGGAGTTTGAAAACCTTCTTCCCTGCATTTCTATTTAGTGTTACAGTATGATAAAGTTAGGCTAGACACAACTACTTTACCATTTCCATAAACATTAGCCTACTACATGACCTCATCTTTGCCTATAACACCACTTTTAAGGAAACTTTTTTGTTTTATTTTCTATTGATTTCAATTATGTTGCTTTAAATAGAAGACATCTTATTCATTCACTTTGAAATGTATTGTTGACCTTTCTTTACAGTCAATAATGTCGAACCTGTTGAAGCAACTGAATCGCATCATTATTCTGCCTCTGATGTTGAAATGAAACCCAAACATTGTGTAAAAGTAAGTTCATATTAATTTCTAGGCATTTTCTTTTAATTATCTCACCTCACCAATGCATCTTTTTCAAAACTTTTAACAACTTTGGTAAAATCTTTTCAAGATTGACTATTAAATAGAAGAAATAAGTTTTCTGATGATTTTAAAAGTAAAACAATAATTTTTAATTCTTTTGGGACTCAAATCAGTTATATTCTTATTGCTGAAGTAATTTTTTTCATTCTTCAGATTTCCTAAGACAGTTTGGAAAAGATAATTACTTCCTTCTAATATTGCTCTTCATTTTTCTGTTAAAAACAAAATGAGGAAAAAAAACATTTTTTTTAAAAAAATTTTTCCTTTTTTTGTGTCTTTTGTGATTATTTTTATTGTTTCATCTGTAGTTGTAGCAATACAAATATTCTTCCATGTAAGTTCCTTATGAGTACACAGACTAACATAATATAATGGTACATTCAAAAACTTGATTGAATCAGTAATTTTTATTGTTTCTCTTTAAATAAAGAGACTATAAAAATTATCTTTGTCATGAGGTAATGGTTAAAAAGCTAGTCTGGTTGACTGAGTAATGAATTCAATCCTTACTGGGTGCCCTATATTTGTGGGCCTTGTGCCAACCTTAGCTTAATAAATAATAACTCAGATGTTCCTTGTAGACAAAAAGAGAATCCTCTATCTTTTGAATTTTCTTCCATTTTCAGCCATCTTGACTTTACCTAACAAATGATGGACATTTTTATGTGACTACTGAACAGGTAGTAGGAGGCACAATGGCTGATCTATCTATTGCCAATTATAACAGGTTGTTAGCAACACTATCTCTTCCATTGCATTAAAGCCTATCATAACAATATAAATAAGCTCTCTTCATAAAAAAGAAACATTCTTGTTTTCCTCTTTTTTTCAGACTTGTGTCCTCCCCTCAAAGAGCAATAGCACACCCACATTTGGTAAACCCAGCAAAGATACTCACATTCTGAGGGACCAGAAAAATCTCTTGACTTTTACAAATGCCCTTCCCAAAGAATCTTTTGCGCAGACATCACAACAAATATGTAAGCAGACAGTTCCTCTTCAATCATAATTCATAATGTTTGTAACATTCTTTCTACAGGAATAAACGCATGTGGTGACATTCAGAGTGAAAATTGTTCACCTCTTTATTAAGGGGAATGATTTATAAAATTGTGGGGTTTTTTGGCTTAATCATTTCATTCCTAGCAAGGTGATAAAGCCATTAAGGCTCAAGGGGTTACTGAGAGTGAAAGAAACTGAGAAAGGACAATAAAAGAACAGGACTCTAAAAGACAGAAGATGATGATTAATGTTGTATTTAAATCTTTGAAGATTGTAGTTAGATAGGAAAGCCAGAAGAGTTTTTCATGGGCAAGACACGTGAGAGAAGAAACTTAGAATAAAAGTTACAGCTCCATCTAGCAGCCATTTCTACAATAAAATGATGCGTCTTAGCTGCCAATCCAGTAGTATGCTTCAATTGATGAAGTCAAGGTACCAAAAAGGAAAGCTCTTCAGAACAATCGCTATGAAAATATTTATAGAAAAGGCACAGGGAAGGGGATGTTATTGTGGTGGAAAAGTGCCTGAAGCAGAGATTCCTTATTGGTAGTAAAATGTTTGAAATATGTCCATCAGATTCCCAAACATGTAACTTCAAGCGAAACCAAAAGTCTCTTATCTTGTGTATACTTGATGCAATCATCAACATGAGCATTGTCTTTTTACTGCATAGCTGATGCTCAACTCCTGAAGAGCAACCCACTGCACCTTCTTGGCTTCGCTTTTCAACTAAATTGAAGTAGAAGAACTACATTGAATCAATAGCTGCATCTACTGCAAGGAAAGTTGGTTCATTGTGTTGTGCCAGAGAGTTTTTCTTGTCCAAGTCCTTCTAGCACATTTACAAATCTACTATTCAGTTGTGCAATTAATACTGTTGCCATATCTGGTCTGGTGCTACTGCCATTTGTCTTGAGGTTCTTGACAAAATCCAAAGAAAGATCTGTAATGACTTGGCATCTAGACTTCAGTCACTTTCTCATTGATGTGACATGGCTTCCCTCTGTCTTTTTTACAATATCCTCTTCAATCATAATTACAATTTACAATGTACAATTACTTTTCATGGCAAATGCTCTGACAAGCTTTTCTCCCTGGCGTCCCTACTACATGAATTTAAGCGTGCTACTAGATTGGCATCTAGCTCCCACCCTTTTACTGTTTAAATAGCTAAATGTAACTGCCACTTCTACTTCAACAGTTTCTTTTATCGCACTTCCCAACAGTAGAATTCCCTTCCATTTACCTGCTTCTCTAAAAACTACAATCTTCAAAAATTTAAATGCAGTGTCAATTGCCATCTTCTGTTGACTTGAACCCTGCCCATCTTTTATCCTTTCCTCAAATCCCCTCTATACACAGTCTTTTACCCTTACTTTAATTCTCTGTAACCCCCTGGGTACTAATGGCATTCCCACCTTGCAAATGATTTAAAAAAAAAAAACAAAAAAAACCCATAGTGGTTGACATTCTACTAAAGAAACTCAACCAAGCAAACAACCAACATAAAAGAACTCTTTCATGACATTAATCCATATAATATCCTACAATTTCTTAAAGAAATCAAACTATATTCCAAAACTACAACATGAAACACATATATCACCGCCTTTAGTAATCATATCCCCACAAACATGTATATACAAAAAAGCTGAGCATCATATACCATGTATTGTTGTGAAAGCAGAATAACATATATCATATTTTTATTACTTCAAAGCTCCCCAGAAAATTAAACTTCAACATTAAATGACCCATGAGGAGTTGATATGCCATTAAACAAATCAATCAATCTTTGCCTTTATTTTCTCATACATTCCCAATCTTTCAATCTTCTGTTTTTGTCTATTATATAAGCATAGATTAGATTTATATGCAAAAAAGGAGTTGGCAATGCACATATTTTTGATTTGCTGTTTCTCTTTTATCTTACTTTGGCTCTATCTCCCCATAAAGAATCACAATTGTTATGCTTTTTCCATCCTTACATACCTTTCCATCTTTAATACATTGTTTCTTTATATCGAGCCAGCAAGCCTTTTTTATCTGCCTTCCGTCACTCACTGACCTTTAGACATGTATTTTGTCCTTTCCTCGTTCATTCCCTCTTTTTCTTCCCCTTCCATCTTGCTTTCCCACTTAATATTATGCACATTTCTCAGTTGGAAGAACCAGGGATCAGGCAGATACTACACTCTGATCCTAAGTTAAAAAACAAAGAAAAAAAGGTTTAACAGTTTATGCATACAAACAAGCAGATTAAGATTATAGATGATTACCATCATTGGAACAACAGCAGTGATAACAACATTTGTTTTATATTTTCAATATCATCTGCCATTCTACTTTAAGTGATCATCAAAAATTACTTGTGTTCCATTCAACTTGATAGTTTCATTCCTAAAAGTATTATAATATATCAATTAACTGTTTTGTTTTCCCACTGGAAACACAGTATCAGTAGCCAGTATTTAAACCCTTTTGCCTCAAATTTCTCTCTTTTTACTTCATCTGCTCTCGGTATACAAGTAAAATCTTGGCACCCATGATAAGGATTCGTCGCATAATTCATTGGAGGTAAATCATTTTAAATTCTTTTATGTTCTGTAATTTTTCATTTCCACTGGAAGAGATCATCTTCATATTAATTAAAAAAAAACCAAAAAAACTTTTCTACATGGACGTGTGTTATGGAAGAACTTTTTTTCTATATTCACTACATACATGATAATTACACATTTTGGCTAAAATATTTTTATCCAACAAAGAACAAAAGACAAATTTTTTTTTTTTTATTGCTTAAGATATTGTTTAGAATATGATAAAACTTAATAGTTTGAATCCATGTTATTTTAGATTCTTATTCTCCTGAATAAATATTTAAAAATTTCATTCATCTTTAAAGCAAAAAATATGAGAATCTTTTATTGACTTTCAGTTATTGGAATCAGAATAATTTTTCTTTGCCTTGCTTTTCTGGGTTGACAAGTTGTTTTGTTTATATGCTCTCATTGTGTAACATTAAGCTATCTTAATCTTCTACACCTTTGTCATGTCAACAAGACCTGGAACATATTGTCACCTTGTAGAGGAAAGAAAATCCCATTCATACCAAAAAAAAAAAAGCCACCATCTGGGTGGATGCTTCAAGACTCTAATATAAACCCAATCAATGTTTACCTATAGACTTGAGTAGGTTAATAAAAAAACAAATTCTGACAATGAATAACCTGACAAGGGTTGAGATGTCATAAAAATCCCCCAACCCAGCCAAACCTTATCATCTCTACATAATTCTTTCCATTTGGTGGGAACCATGGTTAATTAATATCAATTTGATATTTGTCAAGTCATTATTGTAACCGCATTTGATATGATGAAAACTAATATTAAATTAAATTTTAAAATATTCAATTTTTAGTTATTTAATGTGCAGTACAGTTTATTATTCCCTACTGGTTAATATTAAAATTAGATTTGTCTTTTCACCAACCTGTTCTTAAAATTGGATGATGTGTTTTTGTTACAGTGAATAGAAACATAAATAATGTGACAATGAGATCAGGTAATAAACGGCCAAAAAAATCTCATCCAGCTGGAATAAATATCAATCAGCCAATACCTGAAACAATGACCTCAACATATACGGTGTCACCTGAGAGGACGTATGCAGCCAAATGCAAACCAAAAGGTATGTGCGCATAAACACACGTCAAAGATCATATTAACTAAATATACAGTTAGTACTCCCCTGCCTCAAGCTTGCTCCTATTTCAATGTTATAATCAGTTTTATTCATTAACATTACAATTCCTCTCAGTAATTAAGTTTCATTAAATTAAATTTGTTGGATTTTAATAATTTTTAAACATACATTTTGAAATTAAATTTTTACAATTGATTATCTACAATTTTCTTTGTACAAATTTAAATACATGAGAAGGTAATATGAGAAGGTAATATGCCAAAAGTTTAAATTCTGTTGATTTATTGGATTTTACTAGAATTTGCAAATGTGTATTTTGACATTAAATTTTTACAATTGCTCTTCTACAAATTTAAGCACAAATGAATTTTATTTCTCTATAATGGAAAAAATCATTTTTATATCCTATCACTTTTTATGAAAATTGCTTAGACGATGAAATATTTTTTGTCAAGGAATGTTCAGTTGTTTTGACAAAGAGAAATACTGATGACTCTGATGAAATGTTTCATATAACAGTGATTAACAAATTATTTATACCATTCTAGAATTGCTTATTAACTAATTTCATACCATTAACAATGTTTGACTTTTAATTAGTAAAACTAGTTATAGTAAGTTAGTATTTGTATTAATCCAACCAGTGCCACGCAGCGTACCTGTCCGGCTGCCCACCCAAACCCGCCGTGGCGCTATCCTTTTCCCGGGCTCGTTGTCTCTCGCTGTGCGGCTACTGCCGCCCTCCACCGGTCTCGTCCACTCACAAGCGATGAAAGCTGTTCGTGTAACAAGCTTTGCTTTTTTTAAAACATTTCATACTAGTCAATGCAGAAAGTGTGCAGAAACATCAGGAACGACACAGCAACAACACTCAATGCGTTCGATTTTGTTTTTGAATTTTATTTTTTTTGAATTCTTTCAAAAGAGTCAGAAATCGGCCATACAACTGTTCGCACGACCGGCGATGGCGAAGAATGGCAGCCTGCTGAAACCGAACGAATGCGCTACTGGTGGCTGGCAGATTGGCTTCGGTGGCATGCGCGCTGTCTACCGGGCTTGTTGGCTGTCTTGCGGCCTGCCTCGCCCGCTCCCGTAACCTTGAGCGGTGGACGCACTTTGTGTAACAAGCTTAGCTTTGCTGCTTTGTCATCTCTTTTCTGTTCAACACTGGCGAGATGACGAGGCATCTGCTAACTGAATTTAAGTCAGTCACAGTTACAGCCACCCTTTACCCGTGTTTGATCGATTGCGTTGCACCAGCCCTAACTTTCCGGGCGCTGCTAGCAGCATGCATGGCACCAACCATCCGGCCAAACCCGCAGCACACTACCCTTTTCCCGGGCTCGTCATCTCTCACTGCATGGCTGCTGCCGCCCAAGACTGCCTCGCTCTGCCAGGGTTTCTAAGGGACTGAAAATTGAAAAATCCTATCGCAGATAGAAAGCATGATCTATACATTATATACATATATAAATCTTTTGCTAATAATTTCATCTTGGTTATTTTGATTAGTATTTAAATTCAATTCCTGTTTAGTAATCAGAAAAGCTAAAGTCATATGCCCTTGAAAAAAAACAAAAACAAATTGAACCAAAACATTTCAGTGTCCAATAAATCAAACTTGTTTTGTATATACATGTGTCACTCAAATTGCCACAGTATTCTAGGGCTTCCACTGTAGAAAGAAAAAACATGGCAGCATCAGTTATTTCTAATCTCAGTCTGTTGCAATAATTCCCAAAGCACATATTTTGAGCCACCCTTTTAGCATAGTATCTTTGCTTGTCCTCGTTTCAAAAGTTTTTCATCTCCCTTAAAATTTTCTCCTATATATAAACTATTTAATACCTCAATATACCATGACTAAGAGTTTCAAGTCAGAAACAATCTTCAGGTGGGAATATTAAAATTAATTTCTTCACTTGTAATAATAATATTAATAATATTATTAATATTTCCTTTTACAAAAAAACAATTCTTGTAAAACTTCATTTTTAATCAGGTAAATTCTTATATTTTTTTACTAAGATTTTCTAAAATAATTTAATTCATTTGTCAATAAGTCCTGGAATTTTCATTAAAATCTGACAATTTGTTTTTGATTTTTAAAATCAACTATGTCTTTTCCATCATAAAAAGATGCTCAGATTTGTTATGCTAATTTCTAGTCCATCTGCTGACATCAAAGGTTCTTAAACAAAATTTATTTGGTCTTATCTCTTCATAATAAAAGTTAGTTTTCAGCAGATTTGGAGCATTTGTCCATCATAGTATGAATTTTTTTTTTTTTTTTTTCAATACATTTAATGCAACTTTGTAGATTGAAAAATCATAGTTACTTTATTAAACACATTCTTTGCAAAGTCTTCCTCTAGGTATAGAAATGAACAGGAGTTTGAGAAGTGCATTGCATTTGAACCAGAAATTCAGAATATTGGTGCAATACTATTTTACCACACAATTTCTCTTTTATTTAAAGTAAAGAAAATATTTGAGACCATAAGTTTTCTGGTTTTAACAATTTACACAAGAATTTATTGTTTTACTATTTTTTTTTCCTTTCAGAGAAAGAAGATTTAAATCAAGATTTTCTCTCCCAATCTTTGGAATCTAACAGTTCTTTGGCATCTGAAGTCTTAGAAAGAACACGCAAGAGGCTCAATTTCTGGTGAACACAGTCATCATTTTATTTCTCTCTAAAATTCCAATTCTTTGTAAAATTGTAATCTCAGAATTGCAGACTTTTATTTTTAATATATATAAATATATCTCTTACAGATTATTTTTTTTTCTATTAAATGAAGTTTTAAAAACTTGTCTTTTATTAAATCAACCTATAGCTTAAATTTTTATTTTATTGGTTGGGAATATATTCTGTATACAAATTGCTAATAAGAAAGGAAACATTTCTTTTTGGTTTAACATTCATTTATTCACAAACAAGAACACTTGGAATGTTGTCCTTCAGTGGGAAGAAAAAAAATATATATATATATATAAAATTACTGTCCAGTTACTGCCATTCAACATTAACAAAACAAAAACATTTTTAATCTAAAGTTTCTATATATACATCCATACCGGCTTGGAAGATTCCTATTTTGATGCCCTTTATTGAAATTTGAGAAATGCACAATTCAGGTTGCCTATTCACAACTTAAACCTAAAAATGATCCATGAAATTACTAAAGGCAAATACATATATATATACACACACAGTTTTTTTTTTTTATTCAACTGGCCCAGTTGAATGAATGGGTCCAAAACTGACTGTTCTCATAAAATTTCAAAAGATGAAAGACAAAAAAAAAAAAAAAATTGGTCAACCACCAAACTACATTTGAAATATGTAATCATTGGAATGAAATTGTTACTTATGCATTTGTAGAATTATCTAGAACAACTGTTTTAGCCATGTGGCCTTGCCTTAGAGAGAAAAAAATCTTTATTCTTGAAATCCTCTACAATTTGAAAAACACAACTAAAAATTGCTTAAGTGAGTTTTTTTCTTTTTAAAGAAAGAAATCTAATACAAGGAAAATATTTACTGCCTTTAGTTCTTACCAAAATAAAATGTTAAGTAATACTGACTTAGAAGTCAAAGAAATGATCAGCCACTAATATTTGGATTCTTATTAGAATAAGAATTTTGATTAAATGATTTTGATTAACACAAATTATGAAGTTATTTACTTATAGGAAGAAACTAATTTACAATACAGTGACTAAAATGGAAGCTTCCTAAATTTTAGACAAAGGAAAAAATATTCAATTTCACAGTTAAAAATAATCAAGGCATTTTTGATAATTTCAAGTAAATTTTTTTTTTTTTTTTTAAACAAAAATCTTAATACAGAATATTTTCAAAGACAATACAAGCCACTATTGTTCCTAGCTAAGAATTTGAAAGGGTTCCAATTTGTTTTGTCCATCATGAAAATGTAATGAATTGAAGATTGATGAGAAAAATCAACAGAACAGCTTCTATTAATCAAACTTAAATTTTCTTAAAATTTCTAATGCTTATCCCAGGGAATGGCAAGTGCAATTGAAGGTGATTTAAGTCTGACAGTTTTCAGATATAATTAAAAAAAAAAAAAAAAAATTTTTTTTTAGCTTAGTTCAAATTAAAGTTTTGTTTACCTAGAGAGAGATTTTTCTAAAATCAACCCAAATAATTTCACTTGACTTATTACAAATTCATTCCTGGTTTGATTTTTTTTTTTTTTGGTCCTTTGAAAACTGCAAAGGATTTTCAGTATTTCTGTAAACTGCTGAAAGCATCTGCAAGTTAAAAAAAAAAATGATCATGTAGAAGGTGAATGATTGAGTGGAAGAGGAAAAGAGAGAAGTTTGAAAAGCAGTTTGAATCTCCAGAATTGATCAGTGAAACTTCTAACAACTCAACACTCAGCAACAATTAGGGAAAAAACACATGAAAATAATAGTAACACAATATGAGGCCATTCTTTAGCTGTCAACAGCAGTCACAGTAAATGCTTTGCCTTTGGGATCATCAAATCTGTCCATGGTTTTGATGTCCATGATCATAAAGAGACCAAATGCTATGATTAAGGCAAGAATTAAAGTACTGAAGAGACCCATCCAAATGCCAATGGTGAAGAATCCTGTGCAATCCCAAGCAGTTGAGAAAGTTCCATTGACTGCATTAAATGGCTGCACCTATGAAATAGAAAGACCTTTTTCAGAATTGAAATTATAAAACAGTCAAGTTATTTTGTTTAAAATTCAAACCAACAAATGGATTGGTTCTGTTGATAAATAAGATTTAAAAAAAATAAAAATAAAAAATGGGCGTGGTTATGGTTTAATAGTATTGAGACACACAAAAAAAAAAAAAAAGAAAAAAAAAAGATTTCTTAAGACTAACATGAAAAATTCTCATGAATATGTATTGGTTAAAATTATGGTTAAAAAAGGAGATTCTCAAAATCCAACCATTCATTGATGATCACAGATATTTGATAGCAAATACATTCTTCTATTATGGTTAGTCATATAAAACCCAAGAAAATTCTTAGTGAAATTACGTCCTCAATGTTTTTTTTCAAATATCCACATTGAAATTATTCTAATCTTTTCAGATATTCTGGTGAAAATAAACGTTGCACTGAAATTATATAAACAAGATACATTTCATTTGGGGGAAGAAGCCAGATTTGAACTCTTTGCATTTTATTAGGAGCCACTATCAACCACTTAGCCCCAAGGTCAAGTTATGGCAACAAGACAGTGCTCTACTCTTTAGGGGCTGAGATTTTGAGTTTTTAATATTTATTTGACTATTCATCATCAGTCATTCTCTCAACCTCGTGTTGAAGATTTGATTGTTGCCCTTATCCTGCCTAATCTCTGACCTGTGAACTACGTCTCATTCTCTCAGCAAAATGTCCAATAACAGAACATGCTCCACACTAGGCTCATTCACTTAAACGAAACCAACTAAGATATCATCAATTGGGAGTGGGGAGCTAAAGAAAGACAGTTTAAAAAAAACAAAAAAAAAAAAAACCACCACACACACAACTTTCCCTAATGCAGTAAATATTTATGAATTTCATCCACACCTTGAAAGATATTACAAAGTGTTAAGTTGGGCACTTTAACGTGGTGTAAGGGCTAGCAAGCTTAGCTCACTAGGTTAATTACAACTGAAAAGTGAGTTCGAGCCTCACTAGGTGCCCCATACATTTGGCCTTGTGCAACATCTAAGCTATGTTTAGAAAAGCGCAATTAGGGTACCTCAAGGTGGTGTAATTGTTAGCAAGCTTGTCTTGCTAGAACAATTATGAGTAGTGAGTTTGATCCTCACTGGGTGCCCCCTACTTTCGGCCTTGTGCCACATCCAAGCTACACTTGGAAAATCACTACAAGGTGTTAAGTAGGATTTTATCAGCAAGGAAAACAATGTCTGAAAAGTAATACGACATGAAGTAACAAATACTTACCTGGAAATTTTCCAATCGGACAACAACAGCTGAAGGTCCTGTAAGGTTAGATTTTAGCAATGGTTGTTGTGTACAATGATAAGAGAAATCGTTTGGTGCATTAATATCAGAAACATCCAAAGAAGCGCTTGTACTTTCACCCTTCAATGTGTAATCAATATTGAAGCTCTGTAAATTCCAGTTAGATCTTCTGCTCATATTAAAGTTCAGACTGAAAAAGAAGACCAGAGATTCTTAATTTATGGCTGACGACCCATGGATATTGTTCCGTTGTCTTTATAATGTGTTTATATTTTACCCTCTATTGATTAAGGTTCTAATTCACTGTTAGATTTTATGTTTAGTCTGGCACAAGGCCAATAAGAGAGAAACGGAGATTGTGTTGTCAGTCTTCCAAGTGAGAAAGGTTTGCTTACTTTGAAAATCTACATTTAGTGAGGCTTGGACATAGACTAGATTAGTTGTTGAGAAATACACAACAATCTTCACTACCAGGCAGGCCATAACATAGGCAAATGTGAGATTATCATCATGCTATTAATAGAACAGAAGATTTTAAAAATGTAACTTAAAAATTGCTTTCTTCTAAAACCCAAATCAAAACTTTGCTCAACATTAAGTCCAATTGAATACAGGAAGGTTCTTAGGCAGAAAAATACCAAAAATTATGAAAGCAAAAGTGATTTAGCTTTGTATTATAGAACCTGATCTGTCCTGCTATTTATCCATAGCTTGGGGAATGGGGGAGAAGAATAGGATTCATACCTTTCCCAAGGATATTAGCATGTAAGTGAATGTAATGGATTTGACAGGAATTCAAACTCAGCTCTCCAATACACTATCCATTACTCCACCGTACCTCATCTATGTATAATTACACATTCCAAAAGTATTTTACATGCAAAATTTGTCTCAAATTCTGTATGCAGATTATTTTTGTACATGGCAGAGGTTTTTTTTTTTTTTTGTTTTGTTGATTTTTAAAAAAAATTACAAGATCCCCCCCACACACACACAGAATTATTTTTTTATTTTTTTTTTTAATTTGTCAAATGAAAAAAATTCTAAGCTTTTGACAAAATGATTCACTCACCTGAAATTGGCAGTCATGCTTTTGTTCTCAGATTGTAAACTGAAACTCATTCTGAAATTAGAAAAAAAAAATATTTAAATAGGAAAGAAAATATTTTTTTTACTCTTCAAGAAACCTTTCTTTAAAAATCCTGGAACACACACACACAAAGTTGCTTAGGTTATCAATTAATTTAATTTTACACACAAAAAGATTTTAGAAAATGACCAATATTCAAGATCCAGAACATATTTTAGGCAATTTCATCAAATGTATGCCAACAAAATGCAAGACAAAAATGATTATGAATGCAATTTAATGATTATGGAGATATTATAGTTATTGTTTTTGTAGATTTCCAATCTAACATTACTAATCAACTAAACATCTTGCCTAGGTAAGATGTTTAGTTGATTAGTAATTACTCTTTCTTCATGCTATACTTTTTTCTTTTTTTTAATGAGATTGCTAAGAAAAAAAAAAAAAAAAAAAATAGCATGAAGAAAAAGATGGCAAGCTTGATAAAAACTAAATTTTATCGTCTAAATGTTTGTTATTATTAAGAGGAAAGATCAAAGTATTTTATGTTTTTTTTTTTTGTTTTTTTTTTTTTTTGAGTCAGCAAAATTGACAATTTTTTCCATTTCATAACAAATTGAAAATCTCCCTTTCAAATTTTTTTAAATATCACTTATCAATTTTTAAAACTTATTTTCAGGAAATCAGAAATTATAATGTTTATTTAAAATATTTTGAACCAAGCTTAACTTAGCTTCTGTGCCAAAAAGATGTAATTTGAAAATAAAACAAAGCGGGTCATAAATTTTTGCATCACTTGACAGGTGATGAATGACATTGACGGATTCCGTGAGGATAATTTGTTCTACGGAAGGAGAAAAGTGAAATTATTTACATTTAAGTGAACAAATTATTTACCTTGTTATTTTTAAGCAAAACTTTCAGCGCTCTAATTTTTTTTTTTTTTTTGTACTTGGCTTTCACCTTTACGTTGCTTTATGGAAAATATATTATAAAGAAATTAAAATAAGACTGTTAAGAGTGAGATTAAATTTCATATTTCATAAGAAAGGTATCTAATTAATTTATAGGTACCTTTCTTATAAAATTTTATCAGAAGTGTATATAAAATACTATAATTTTATGTACATTTATTACATTTTACTGTGTTATTTGTATTTCTATTCATTTTATTATCAATTTTGATATTTCATTTATGGAAAAATATCATAACTGAGATTAATATAAAAATAAGATCATATAAATTTCATAAGATGATACTGATACTTGTAGGTACCCTTCTCAGTTGAAATTGAAAAATCAAATTAACTTCTCACGTTTTGCAAAAGTAAAGGCCTTAACAACAGAGAACAATGCTTAACTCAACGCAACTTAATTGTATTCTGGTTGGTCTTACGTATGTTATAATTACATCCCGATTATAAACACAAAATTACATTTCTTAATTACTGTGGATCTTCTGATTAGTCAAAATGATACAATTTACAATGCGCTAAAAAAAAAAAAAAATCTATCTCATAAGGTCACTTAGTTAAAAGCCACATCGGGTTTCCTAATTTTATAATATTTTATCAATTTAAATGTTGAAATCTATTATAATTAAAGAAATAACAAATAATTGTATTAAAAATTCATTTTTCATCGAAAAAATATTTTGCTTTCAGAAAATATTGTCCATATTCATAAAAGCAAATAAAAGCATTTGAAATTAAATAATATCTTTCTTTTATGGAGTTTTGTATGTTACAATTCAGAGCTGATTTTCAGGTAGGGGGGTCCAGTTAAAAAAAAACAAAAAAAAAAAAAAAACATGATTTGCATTCCTCAAAGCCTTGTTCTTTTAATTATTGTAATCACTAAACCTGACACGATCGAATTTCTAGCGTTTTCATAAAATTAGTTGGCAGGGCAATAAATATTAAAAACTATTTCTGTCATGTTTCAAAAACAAGTTTCATTAACATCTGGCAATTATTTTTATTTTTGCAAAATTTTCCAAATTAATGTGTGTCATACAAAAAAAAAAAAAAAAAACAACACGTGCTAAAAAATTGTAAATGTTATTTTACTAGTTCTGGTGATACAAAGAGAAACAAGGTTTTTTTTAATCAAAATTTAGAATCTTCTAAAAAGAAGGAAAAATTTTTTAAAATAATTAAAATAAACTTTGATCTTTTCTCTTAATAGTAATATAAACATTTACATGATAAAATTTTGTTTTCGTCAAATTTGGCATCTTTTCATCATGCTATGCTCTTTTTTTAGCGATCTCATGGGGGTACCTACATCTTGCCCATCTGAAACTTGGAAATGCACAAGCCAGCAGTAATTCAATATTCTGGAATTATGGATCAGCCACACACCCCGTAAGCCTGCTTCTAGTGTCACCAGGCAGGCCCTTGACTGGAATCCACAAGGGAAGTGAAAAGTAGGTCTTGAAATGTTGACATACGGGGGAATAGGCTGAGCTGAAGAGGATCACCTGGAACTGCATCCATTGGAGAGGTGTTGTTGCAGCCCAATGTTTCCCAAGGAATCAAGAGGCATAAAAATGATAAACTACACATTAGTGATCGGGTCAGTAAACTACAAACAAAGGAAGCGTATGTCTTGTTAAAAGACCATTCAGAACTAAGCCATCTACTAAGCTTATAAACCCTACTAGACCAGAAATCGGTAGAATCAGTAGGACTATCTTGGAAAGAACCAACCACTCCATAAAAAACACCCTTGGACTATTACAGTGGATTAATACAGCTGATGTTATTAAACCAGTTGATAACATCCGATCTAAGGACAACTGTACTTTCATACAGTTCGATATTATCGACTATTATCCCTCTATATCGAAGAATCTATTCACTTTGGCCTTGGATTTTGCCCAGGAATACTCTAATATTTTTGAGAGTCAAGTGGATATTATCATGAAATATGAAAATTCTGTTCTGATCTACAAGAATGAACAGTGGACCAAAAAGTCTTGCAACAACAATTTTGCAATTTCAATGGGTTCTTTGGATTTTGCGGAAGCTTCTGACCTGGTTGGATTATTTCTTTTGTACAATTTAAGTGCCTTCGATTGTCTAGATTCTGATAGTGTAGGATTGTATAGAGATGATGGCTTATTAGTTGTTAAAAACTCCACTAAAATTAAGGTAGACCGTATTAGGAAAATGATCCATAGGGTATTTAAGGATTTAGGTCTTAGGACAATAGATACAACTAATGTTAAACAGGTAGATTTTCTAGACGTCACCTTAGACCTTGCTAGCAACACTTTCCAACCATATGTGATGGTTAATTCCAACCATCCCTCTTTAGTTATCAAACATATACCCTTTTCAATTGGATTTAGGATTAGCACTAACTCTTCTAACAAAGATGTTTTTAATAAACATCAGGATTTTTACAATTCTGCACTCAAAAATACTGAATACAAAGATATCACTATTCAATATAAAAACCCTGTTAATTGCAACCATAATAAGAAAAGAAGATCTAGAAAGATCATCTGGTTTACTCCCCCTTTCAATATAATGGTTAAAACTAAATTAGGATGTATATTTCTAAACCTCATCAAAAAAACCTGAAACTAACCCACTTAGTAAAATATTTAATCCTAATACCCTTAAATTAAGCTATAATTGTGCAGATAACATAGAGAAAATAATTGAAAAACATAACAGAGTCTTTAACAAGTATAGGGACTCAAAAAGCTTGATTACTCACCAGGTTACAAACAGCAATACTAAGTATAATGACACGAATAACAATTCATGTAATTGTAGGAATTCTAATAATTGTCCACTAAAAATAATTGTATGACTAGTTCTGTAGTTTATCTTAGTACAATCTCAACACTAGAAAATCCAAATATAATTTTTTTTTTTTTACATTAGTAGCACCATGAAACTATTCAAGGAGCGTTGGGGGGGGGGTATATGCAATCTTTTAATAACAGTAACTAAGTACCTGACTTCATTATCCAAGTATTTTTGAAAAGAACAAAACACCTACGGTTAAATAGAAATTGATTAAGAAAGCCTTGACATGTAACTCCCTATATGCCCCATGTTACCTATAAGACATAGGTAAATGAAAAATTTGAAATAATTAGATTTAAAAATAAGATTGATCTCTTAAATCAAAGATATGAACTAACAGTTAATTGTAAACACCGTTATAAATTTAACTTGTTATAGGGGTTGTATACTTTCAATGATAATGATATGTCATTGTAAATTTAATAGGTTATTATGTTTATTGCCTGATGGTCATCCTGACGATATGAATGTGTATTGTGTACCTACATAGTGTTATTCGTGTCTGTATATGGGTGTAAGTGTGTTTGTACTGTTGGATGTGTATGTGTGTATATAAGTGTATATATATGTTAGTAGGTTTTGTTTATATATATATATATATATATATATATATATATATATATATAGGTAAAAAAAAAAGAAAGAGAAGAGGTTAAAATATTGGTGTATATATATATATGTCCAGTTATATTGTGTATCTATATTTATATTTACGTATATTTCTTTATGTATGAATATGTTTATGTATGTATGTTAGGATACATGTATATGGGTGTGTGTATGGATATATGTTTATGTATGTATGTATATGGTTGATTGTGTATTTATGTATCTGTATATATATATATATATATATATATATATATATATATGTGTGTGTGTAGGTATGTAAACTTTGGTTTGTGTCTACTGCCGCGTGTGTAAATCTGTGTGTATATGTATTTGTGTCTATATGTGAGTATATATATATATATATATATATATATATATATGTGTGTGTGGATGGGAGTGTACTTATATATGTATGTATGTGGATGTGTCGATACGGGTATTTATACATGATTATATATTTGTATATGTGGATGTATGTTCGTATGTCCTAGTATATGTATATATTAGTGTCTTGGAATATATCATCGATACTAACTAAAATCTACTTTTGTTTGATAGGGATTTTTTAATTGTTTATAGACTTAATCAACAACTGCGTGTTGTTACTTTTTAAAAAATTATGAACTTTTACTATATTTTATCGTCAATAAGATAATGTTGAATATATGTAGGTTTCTGTGTATGTGTATATATATATATATATATATATATATATATATATATATATATATATATATGTATATATATATGTATGGATGGATGTGTTTGTGCGTATATATGTCTATATAGGTGAATTTACGTTTGTATGTTGTTTTTTTTATGTATATGCATGTGTTTGGATATGTGTTGGTATATATGTATGTTTGTGCGTTTAGTTTATATGTGCATGTGTATACATGCATATGTATGTATATGTGTATTTGTATATATGTGCATGTATGTATATATATTTATATTTGGTTTGTTTATTTTTTATGTCGGTGTGTGGGTTGATATATTTATACTTGCTTCTGTATGTGTGTGTATATATATATATATATATATATATATATATATGCGTAGACATATTTGTGTGTATGTGTATATATGTGTAACTGTACACTTATATCTGTAGGTAGTTCTTATCTTATTTTCTTTTACCTAATATATAATAAGGCATATATCGACTTATATGATAAAAATATATATTTTTATAGATATTTGTGCGTTTGGAATTTTCGTTTTTTATATATAAGATAATGTTATTTTTAACCATTTTTATCTATGTATATTTGCCTGTATAAGTTATATTTTAATAAGTGGTTAGCATTTGTTTAATAACACTTTCAGTCTTGAATATTTCTTGGTTGTGGTATCAGATTGTCTAGGTCAATGTATGTGGATGTGTGTACATGTATTTATCAGTGTCTGTGTGTATAGGAAATGCATGCACATTTAATTGTGTATGTATGTATGTGTTTTTTTTTTGTTATAAAGGGCCGTGGAAATATTTCCTGTCTCACTCTTTTGTCTGTGTATATATCTAAATATGTCTGGGTGCTTATGTATTATAATCTGAGTGTGTTTGTATTGTTTTACGCAAGAGGTTAGCACCCCATTCACACACTTATGATTAAAATGCATTCATTTTGTCGGGGAGACCAGCTGATATTAGCGTCTATTTTAACGTAATTTCAATGAAGAAATAAATTGAATAACATATGTATTTCTTCTTTTCTCCTCAGTAATTTCATAATTTTAAACTTAATAGAGATTAAATTTAGATTTTAAAATTGGTAATTTTTTTTTTACTTTTAATATCAAATTTTATCATAATTTAATACTTATTGGTTAGAATAAATTCTATTTTAGTATAACCCCAACTTTAAAGCTCTTACTAGCTATTATAACCTTAATTCGTTGTCAAGTTTTTTTTAAATCTCCTATACTTGTGTTTTGATTGGTCATTCTAGCTTATGTAACAGTGTTTTCCCCTAGCGAAGGATCGTTAATTTGAAACTTTTAAAACCATTTATTTTACATTCAACATCATCACTTGATAAGACACTAGATGCATTGAAACAAAATAGCTATTTTTGTAGTGATTTTATAACATATTTATGTTATAACTTTTAAATAAATAATACATATAATAATAATAATAATAATAATAATAATATATGTGTGTGTGTGTGTGTGTGGTTGGAATGAGCACTCATTATCTGATTTCAAGATAAGAAAATTCCAACTTGTCCCATTCAAACCAATCCTTTTTTCCAATGTTTCAGAGAATGATGGATAGAAAAAGCGGATATACTTACGCAGCTGTATTGTTAACACAGTTACTACTTTTGCTAATGACCGTCACCATGTTGTATGTTGTAACATTTGCACCAGATCTAATGTCGACTTGAAATTTTTCAGCATAAAATGGACAATTTGGAAAATCGAGGTATATGCCAGTGAGGTTTGTATTATTTGCCTTTGGCTCAACTTGCAAGAGATGGCGCCCAAGGTAATTGGAATCCTTTTCCTGAGAAAAGAAAATTTCAGGAGAAAAATCAAAATAGGATGTTATAAATAGCAGCTCAGATTCTTTGTTGGCCATAAACAAAATCTTATGTTCGTATCATTATTTGCACAATGGATGAGATGGACACTTTAAATAACCATTGCAATTTAGGGTGTATTTTTTTTTTTTTTTTACAGGACATATATTGGTAATATAATAGAAGTTTGGATTGAAAGTTGACTTTTCCTAATGGCGACAACCTTGAAAAAAAAAAAAAAAAAAGAAAAAAAAGCAAGACCTGTTTTGGGACTCAACACTAATTTGTTTTTTGTTTTTTTTTTCATTAGATTGTTTTCAACCCTTCCCCAGGAGAAACTGGCCACACTTTACTATTTGACCCTTCCCTATTTGAAGATCACAAAAGAGACTTTAGAGATTATCCATTAGAATGAATTGTAGAAAAGTGTATTGCTATGCTAGTTGAAGTTGAAATGAGAAGTGGATAGGTAAGACATATGAGTAGGCAATACCAGATAACAACAAAGGTAGTGGTGGTGATGATTATTATGATGAAAAAAAAAAAAAATGCCCTGATGTTATACCAAGCATGGCTCTCATTGCTTCTGATCTTGATTGATTTGAGGTTTTAACCTAAATATGTTTTGTCTTGGTGAATTAAGATGGGCTAGAGTAAATATCCTGTTCAGAATCACAGATCTGCTCATCAATTTACCTGATCCCATTTGGGTATGTCCATAGGAACATGCACTATGTTTCTCCGTTCATGGCTAGGGGTTGAGTTTGAAACATGAGGTAGCTAAGGCAACTTGACAATACCTTCTACTGAAGACCATCTGAGCAGACTGGGTTACCCAACTGCAAGGTTATTTACTGCTTTTTATCAAAACCATATATCACATGAGATATGGCTAGGATGTGCCTGGTACTCCTTTATCAGAGTAAGGGTTATGATGGTTATATTTAGATTTATGTATTTGTACCCCAGCATCATTTTCTTGGTGTACTACTCTCAAGCAATATTGTTAAAATAAAAAAAATATATAGATAGGTTGTGCAAATGGCCATTGATGTTCTATCTTAGAAAAATACAACACAATTCAGGTTCTGTGATTGAAAGCCCTTATTTTATTCAGATGTAGAATAGAAACAGACTTTCCTGACAGCCTTTAATTGTACAGTAAGGCAGCAAATGAAGACCTGAGCCTGAATGCAGCAACAAATGGTTAGACAGAGCTTTATATATATATAAAATAAATATGTGTGTGAATGATGGTTCCTACTACATTGTCAAGCATGATCATCACAAGATATAATTACGATATCAAGCAATGCCTGTACATAAAATTTTTAAAAGGGAGAAAGGCATCACACTGGGTCATTCTAAGATGTATCCAAAAAGAAGAACCAGATAATGTTGGATGCTGTCAAGTCACAAGTGTTACAGTTTTTTTTTTTTTGTTTTCCTAGTTAGATACTATGCAACCGTGTCACATTTTGTTTTCATCAATAAAGCCACCACTTGCCTCAATTACAGTTTTACAAATTCTTGGCATTCTTTACAAGAGTTTTAAAAACAAAAATAAGATAGACTTTCTGAAGCATTCTTCAAACACTGAAAAGGCTCACCCTCACTTTTTAGGTATTCTCTTCAAACTCACCTATATCCAATTCCTCCAATACTAATTCAATAGGGGAAAGATCAGGAAATTGAGATGGGCAATCATAATAATTTTCAAAATTTTTTTTTTTCTCTTACTTTTCACAGTAATTTTGAAATAATTTAGAAAAGCGTTTTGGATCATTGTTTTGTTGAAAGGTGAATTTTTTTTCCAATTGCCAGATGGTATAGTACATCTCTGCAAAATCAAATGATAATATTCTTTGTTCCCGATTCCCTTGACCTGAATCAAATTTCAAGCCCTCTCTCCCCCAAAATATCCCCCCACCCACTATGATTAACTGTTGGAACCACACATTCATCCTTCAGTCTTTCTGCTGGTTTTCGTTTCACCTTTTACTACCAAAAGGTTCAAATTTGGACTTGTCCGTCGACAATACACTTTGCCACTCTTTCAATGTGTAGCCCTTATGCTTTTTTTTTTGCCCATATGTCTTTTCTGTTTATTCACCTTTTATAACAAGCATTTCTTGATAACTATGCACTCTCTGAGTCCTGCTGATCTAAGTTGATTTTTCACAGTTTAGAGTGATACACAGGTTTTGCTATCAAGAGGAATTAAGTTCAGCTGTCAACTCTTTTCTTCTATTTATTTTGCTCTCAAAAGTCAAGTTTTTATCTTCAGCAGCGGTTGTCACTTTTGGCGCTCCAGCTCTTTTTCTGTCAACATTTGCACCAGTTTCTAACTGCTTTTGTAATGAATATCACCCCCCACATGTCTAGAAATAAACTTCTTGGCAATTTGTCTTTGAGAGTAGCCTTCTTCATTCCTCACTTTAATGCTTAGCTACTTTGATTTTGCCATTTTGTGCAAATTACTTCAAAATTAAAAATTTAAAAAAATGTCATAATGGTACCCCCCCACACTCTTCAGAGACAGCTACACATGTTTTGTTTACAACATTAGTTAGTGCTTACTTAACATTTAGAAACAGTATTAACATTTAGCTACTCAGGGATTAATGGCAAAAACAATGTTTCTCATAAAAAATATTCATAATTTAGCAAAATGTATTATGGACAGACAAATCCAAATTTGAACTTTTTGGTAGTAAGATGAGCCTCGAGAAAGACTGAAAAATAAATGCAAATACATGAGTTAGTGAAATTTTGTTTTGCTAAAAAGAAAAAAACAAAAACAAAAAATAGACACACACACCAAATCATTTCATGTCAAGGTGTTTTTTAAAGAAATGCAGGGTTCCCCCAAACAAGAAAAGATTATAAGCCCCTTTAAAGCCATTTTTATGGTTCTTTAATATATTTAAACGGAATATATTTTCTAATAAATGTATTATTTTAAATTTGATCATCAGTGAAATGACAGGTATCAAACTAGAATTAAATTAAAAAATAGACTTGCAATTTATAACCAAGGTAGCAAACACGTTTCTGATAAGGGCCCAGAATATTTACCTCTGGGGGTGCTTGTTCTCCAGTCAACACTGCTGCATAATCCACTTTACGATTTTTTAATTCTTGCAGCATTTTTGCAATCAAATCATCTGAAATAAGCAAAGACATTTTGCTTTTCAAACAGAAAAAAAAAAAGAGAAGCAAGACTAAAATTTGTGCTGCAACATTGAATCTCGACAATGGGATAAATAAAAAGTACCTGTAATTTATTTACAGCATTAAACAATCCATTATCTTTATTAATTAACACAATATATATATATATATATATATATATATATATATATATATATATATATATATATATATATATATATATATATATATATATATAGTGGTTTTCGTTTTCTGACTGAGACTCAGGTTCAAATCTTGCAATGGTTGATTTGGCTTTTTGATGTTATCAGTCTGGAGGTAACAATCCCAGTGTGTCTGAAAACCATACCATGGGTTGACCCAAGCCTTGTGAGTGAAATTGGGTTGATGGAACCCTTGGGAGCTGTCGATGGCTGTACTAGCATAAAGTCACAAGTCATCGTGACCGAGAGTTTCAGCATGCTGGCCTTGTTCAGACTGTTGATCATGCTAGAAACTGTAATTAAGGTCTGCTCAGTATAGTTGAAGTATAAACCACAAGTGGGCTCTGTGGGTGTTGAACAAACACAAATGTGCCTGAGCGAGAGTCTGCAATAGGGATTAGCTAGCCACCCTGGTAAACAGGCATCTTCAGATATGAGTGGCTGCACCATGTGGGTAGATATATAAAAATGAATACTGAAAACATATGCACCCGTTGCATCTATGTGCCATGGTTTTTAAGGATATTAGCGATCATAGCTCTCCACAATTTCCTGTCCTTTGTAGCTCTTAATAAATTTTGTCTCTTAAATTCTATTCTGCCGATCATTTACACAAAATTGTTAAGTAGGTTATGTGCCATTTTCCTGTCCCTCTCGTCTTCATTATGTCCTGTGAGTGTTAGATTTTCCAAGCCCTCTTTCCTCCACGTGACTTAGAAATTTCAACTGTCTCTTTCTGATGTTAAGTAGAAGTCTTTATTTCTACTTTCTCTAAAACTTTGTTGTTGCTTACATTGCATAACATGAAACAGTATAATACAAATGATTAAAGTCACAACTTGTATACGACTCAATTTTTACTAAACAAGCTAAAAAATTGGTTCATGATTTTTTCAATAGAGTTTGTTCTTCTTACAGTAATGTTAAAAAGCCAGTATTTCATTTTCATTCAACAATTGACAAGTTCTTCAAAATTCACTGCCAATCAAAAAAAAAAAAAAACTTACTTTTTAACCCTTTAGTCGATCAATTTTTCCCCACCTAACATCTTATTTTCAAGCAGATTTCTTTTTTACAAAATGATACAAGAATCAGGAAAAAATTTTTTTTGCTGAAGTGATGTTTCCATTTAAAAATACATAGATACTTCCAAAATAACTTTTGCATATAAAAGTATACATCATAAAAAGCCTGTACAAATATCTAAATACACAATGAGAAATAATATACAGGGTGTCCCCAAAACAATTGACATCATTTTGTAAGAGCCAATTCTTGCTCAAATGATCTCCGATTTTAACAAAATGTGAGAGTTGACTGTGTGGACTTTTCAATGAGAATCTACCAGGAAGTTGGGTCAGGCATGCCAGTGATAATGACAATGTGCTATTGAAATGGCCACTATGTTCACCCAACTTGACAGCTTGTGATTTTTTTCTATGTGGTTATGTGAAAGGAAAGGTCTATATACCATTTCTTCTTACAAGCCTAAAGGAACTTAAGTAGAGAATCCCTGAGGTGCTGGAGAATGTTACACAAGACATGCAACAACATGACGTGTTTTATACCACAGGCGGTGCACATATTGAAACTTTGTGAAATCGGATATTAAATCTACATCCCTTTGAATATCTTGTTTGAATGTTGATAAATAAAACTTTTATTGTTCAACATTAAGCTGATTTAATTTTGTTTGCCTGGGACATATAGTTACTCAGATATTCACATTTTTAAACGAGGTCAGTATTTTTTTTGGACTCTCTCTCTCTCTAATCACTATTTGGAATAATCTATTATGGTGTTAATCTATTTCAAGATTTAATTATGTACGAGTTCTTCAACCTGCATCAACATTTCAGAAAAGGTTAATATTCTTAATGACTCATCCTTCAAACATTGAAGTTCTTTATAAGAAGAGAAACCAAATGAAACTCACCATTATTTTTAATAGCAGCCTCTTCATTCTTTTTCCCAGCCAAGTCAGGAAGATGAACAAGAACCAGTTGGGGTTTGTCTGTTTTGATTTCCATAGTTGCCAGCTTTGATGGCTCATGAATTTCAACTAAATCATTGTGAAAGGTTTTCTTTAAGCTATCAATAGCAGACATGGGTTCTAGCACAGAAGGCAAATTGGTAGAGAATTGGTCTTCCATAAAATGCTACAGAAACAGATAAAATAAAACAATTACAAGCAATGTTTTTTTTGACATATCTTTCTTTCATCTTCATTTTACTTCATTCATTGCGACTATACAAACCATAAGTTCATTAGTATCAGTAAACAGCACAAGTCAGAAAATAAGTTCTTCCTATAACAAACCTGCAGCCCTTTACTTTGGGAAACCTACTCCCTTGTACTAATTATTTTTTTTATACACATTGCGCAGTATTCTGGATAGAGCATATGTAAATATAAAAGTGGATATTTAGGTCAACACTCAGTGGTGACAGTCTGTTTCATGCTTAAATGTAATCTTTATGCCATGTCTCTTGAAGATTACATTTAAGCATGAAAGGCTGATGCCTTGGGGTGTTCACCTTAACACACACACACACACACACACAGTATTACTGTATTTTCCCTCCATATAACAGACTATCATTCTACAGTTATTTATAAACATTGTGGATCAGATATAAACAATAAGCCTCTGACAAGATTTTAACTTGCATCTGCAGGAAGCCTGTCTGCCTGGGTCAACTGTTTTACTGCTGGGGCCACAAATCCTATTGGTTGAAGAAACCCAAATTAACATTATTTTCCCTAAACTAAGTGTTTAGGAAAAATAATGTTAATTTAGGTGTCTTTACTAAACATTTTTTTTTTTTAAATGTTTATATACACTTATAGTTTTCTATTAATAGGCTGCAATCTTAATGCTGCTACACGCTCTTGCCATTAAAATGGCAAGTGTGTTGTCAAAAATGATTGCTAAAGAAATATTCTAAAACACCCAAGTGTCTGTCTATACCTCTGAGATGAAGTATTATGATTACTTAGATTATTTGAACCGTTATTCTCATCTTCATTGCCATATTCACAAAAAACTTAGAGAAATAACAGGGACATTCAGAGGAGGCCTGGCATGTGGAACTAGAACAACCTACACCGGTAGACTAAATAAAGGGTTTAGTTCGAAATTCCAATCACCTGAAGAAGGCTGGAGCATATAACAGCCAAAATGTTGTGAACACGGCAATGAAGATGAGGCTAACAGTCCAAATAATGTAAATAACCAAGATTTTCTAATAGAAAAAATTTCAAAAATAGTTTCATTCATTTGTGAATAAGTCCTGAAAATTTCATTAAAATCTGACAATTATTTGCTTTTCAGAAAAATTTCCAAATTAATGTTTGTCGCTGCAAAAAGGAGGCAAAAATTTGCTATGCTAAAAGTTAGTACAACCACTGATGCAAGAACAAGTTTGTTTTGTTTGTTTTTTTTAATCAAAATTTTGAAAAAAGAGTAAAAAAATTTAATTAAATATTAAAAAACAAAAAAAAAAAACCTTTGATCCTTCCGCTTAATAATAAAGATCTTGACGAAAAACTATGTTTTCATTACATTTGGAGCATGTTTTCATCATGACATGCTGATTTTTAGCGATTTCGTGGAAGTACCTAGTTTTGTGTCAATAAATTAAAATACTTCAACTTATAAAAAGTCAAACAAATATCTGTATTATAAATCTTCTTGTTCCTCTCTTTGTTAATAAAGGATCATTTCATTTTGATTGTCGGAAAAGACATATCAAAAACTACTTTGTTTTAGTAAGAAAGTTTCAGTGACATGGAAAAAGTTGTCAATTTCAAATCTTTTCATTTGTACCCCCTTACTTCTTAAAATAATGACCAGCATTCATATTTATGATTGTTATTGTAATATTTTGTTAAAGTTGTTAAGCTCAAATATTTAATGATGCAACAGGAATTTCTACAGATATTTTATTGTCATAGAACTTGCCATGAACTTATTTAATCATTAACTTAAGATTCATCAGAAAATTAAAATAGGAAAATGGTGAAATTTTCACAGCTCTTTCTAATGAAAATAATTGTAAATTTTCCTTATATTATTTATTCTAAATAAAATCTCATCTATCACTTTTTTTTTTTTTTTAAATATCTTAAACTGAATAAAATCTTTTTAGGAATGACTACAACTGAAAATTGAAAATATAAGTTTTCTCACCAATGAATAACAATTATTCATTTAAAAAAATCTAAATATGCATTGTGCTCAAATATGTTCTTGTTAAGAAATGGGATCAGATGGTGCTAGGGAAACATTGTAGGGGACTTCATTTAGCTCTTTTTAACTTGTATAAATTTAGTAACAATGAAATTGGTACTAACAGAACTGATCAAAAAAAAAAAAAAAAAAAAAGAATGGGATTTTATTTTAACTTAAATATAATCCAACAAATGAATTGATGATGAACAATGTATCATTATATATAATGTGACATAATACCTTCATATTTGTTATAATAAAAAAAAAAAGAAAAAAAAAAGGTAATACTGAACACTTATAGATCGTTGCCAGACAAATTGATCAAAAGTCTTTGAATTACATACCTTGACATTTTTAAAAGCTCCTCCTGAACTGTCTTTGCTGTAAATGTCAGCATATCGAGACAGATAATCTAAACCAAACTGAAAAAGAGAAAAATAAAAAGGAAATTGACAAGTGAATCAAAACTTTGTTTAAATGTGTTTTTCTTGTTTTTTTTTTCTCTTTAAGAATAATAAATAAGGTTTTGTAGATTTATCCAAACTTTGCTGCCATTCAATAACAAATATCAGTTGGCGAGACATTTTTACTATTCAAAGCAAATTATTGAAATGTTTTCTAAACTCTTCTTCCAAACCATCTTAAAAAATTAGAGTGGAGAAAAAAAAAAAAAAAAAAAAAAAAGCAAAGAGAAAAAGTCGTAACAAGTTAGGTGCCAGTAAAATTTTAACCGAATTATATACAGACCACATTGAACCACAACAAGAAGTGACGATCAGAGATCTGCACATAGAAACATGCATGCATACAGACACAAATGTATGTATATATCTCTCTAGTTTAGTGTGAAAGGTGTTGTAGGCAGAGAAACAAGAGCATGTAGAAAAAGTTCCACAGTACATTATTATATAGGATTCTTCTTTATTTACACTACTTACATTCTGACTATGGTCCTCATCTTTTGTTTTTATCACATTTTGGTCATGTAAATAATGATAACATTTCATCCCAGAAATTCAAACAAAAAAAAAAAAAAAAAAAAAAAAAATGATTTTTGTATATTTATTATTATAGTTTCTAAGGCCTGCATGTAACGTAATAGTTTGTGGCTTGGAATGAGAAATTGGTAAGACCAGTTCAAATTCCGATTACATTTACTTTCACACAAATGCAATAGTAAAATGGAAGAATCCATTTCTTCTTCCGTATCTATGGATTAAATAGCAGAACTGACTGGGCTGGAGTTCATAACTCCAACAGTTTTCACTTGTATTGTATATAATAGTATTCGCCAACTACAAAAACAATTAGGTCAAACAGGCTGTTGACCACAGCAACGGGTCTGAACCAAAGCTAAAAATAGATTCTCTCATATGTGCAGACTAACATGGCTAAGTACAAACATTGAGCGGGAAAAGATCGACAGAAGCCAGTTGAGTAATGAAACTCAAAAGGAGTTGGATCATCCATTAAATTCTCATGTGAATAGATTCTCAGAGCTGAGGAGAATGAATGCTGCTCCCAACTCAAACAAATTCCAAGCACAGAATCAAGTGAAAATGAGTCTTGTGTGAATAGTACCTCTTTTACTTCTTAAAATCAAGCAAGAGAGATCACACGATAAAAAACAAATTCCAATTAAACTCAACACTATGCTGCTTACACCAATTGCATAGGTGAATTGAGAAATGTGACAATTGCCTAAGGCAGGTATGAAGGATCCAAATAATGAATACTGTATTGCGGAATATACAACTTGTACAGCGCCAAATCTCCATAACTGAATAATGAAAACTCTATTGAAGAAAGGAGAATAGATTAAAGGACACGGCTACTCAAGCTAAACAAACTGATCTGAAAGTTAAAACAACAAAGAGAAACATAAGAGAAAACCAGAGAAAAGGGAAGAGAGAAAACCCTATTTTACTTCAGAAGAAAGATTGGATTTTTTTTTCTGTTTCAACTTTTAACCTCAGAACATAGCGCACATCTTTCCCCACACAGAAATAATGTATAGCGCACATCTTTCCCCATTCTCTTGCCTAATTGCTTTCATGTACAGTGATACCTTGGCTTAAGTTGTTTCAAGTCATTTTCAAATATAGCTTGGTTTTTCTTAAATATTTTATGGAAAAATAAAACTTGCCTTAGGTAGTTTTACAAGAGTTTACATGAATTTAAAATTGGTTTTTAATTATTTTATTCATGATAATGTACATACATATGATAAATACTGTAATATGCAATGGGAAGTGGTTATTTCGATTTATGTCATTTTTCAACCTAAGTTATGACCTCTGGAACCAATTAACAATGTAGGGTGAGGTAGACCTGTATTATTAAAGTTATAATTAAATCTTGTTAATTTGTACATTGGCATTTGTCATTATTGGAGTGGTAAACTTGGCATCTTCTAAACTGAGTTTTTTTTTTCTTTAATCTTTTCTTTTTGTTGTAACCTAGGGAAGGTTACTGAATAAAATAATCACATGAAGGTTGGTAATGAACAATAATACTTAGGACAAGAACAACACATATAAGATTCGCCAGCAGCATGTAGAAGCAGTAGTCAACTGCTAGAAGGGAGTCAAGTGAGATCCACAATGAATCTCAAACTACAGGATATCTACCAACCGCCCCATGCAGTAAGATGTGACAAGGCTGAATTTAATGTGGGGCATCCAAGCCCATAGGCTCAACCAAAAATCCCCTGTAGACACCTGTATAAAACGGAGTTGGGTAGCTATTTCCCCAAGATGAAACTCTGGCCTTTGACATGGCCTTATCTAGGGATCCTCTCTGCCTAGAGGCACAGAGTTTGACCAGCACAGCTGGAGACAAATCTCTGACTACAAACCAACATACAGTATTTACTACTGTATTTATGTGAATGGGGACATACCCATTATCATCCATAGGTATGCTACAATACTTTTTAAACTCTATGCAGCAGTAATTGTCCTGGTGAGTTAACATCCACCTAAAACAAGTTCATGCCATCAGCACTTTCTTGTCTTTCACCTTCAATCAACATTTGCAAAACCAAACATCAATAGAGAATGGATGACAGAAGTCATTTGGTGAAACTGGAAGGTTCTAGTACTGAAACTGCACTTGGCAATTGACTTTAGTCACCGATGCCATCATAAACGAAGTGACCAACAAAGAAATTAAATTCTTGGATGGATGAATAAATACACACACACACACACACACGGTGCGATGGGTAAATTGTCGCCATTTTATATTTTCAATTTTCACTTTGTTGTTTATGTTTGGCCACATGGCCAAGTGGTTAGAATGTTTGCATTCTGACAATGAGACCCGGGTTTGAATCTCACCAGGGTCGATTTGTCAGGAAGAAGACTTCCTGATGTAATTAGACTGGAGAGGTCAATCCCAGTGTTCAGCACCTTTTGAAAGTGCATGAAAACCATACCACGGGTTGACCCAAGCCCTGTGAGCGAAATTGGGTAAATGGAACACTTGAGTGCTGTCAATAACTGTGCTTGCATGAAGTTGTGACTGGGAGTTTGAGCATGCTGGCCTTGTTCAAATTGTTGATCACACTAGATAACACACTCTTTCCCAGAAACTGTAACTAAGGTCTTCTCAGCATAGTTGCAGTATAAAGTACAGTTGGGCTCTGTGCGTTTTGAATAAACTCAAATGCGCCTGAGCAAGTGTCTGCAATAGGGATTGGATAGCCACACTGGTAGACAGGTATCCTTGAATACGTGTGGCAAGCTATACAGTCACCAATGCCATCATAAAGGAAGTGATCAGCAAAGAAATTAAATTCTTGGATATGAAATAAAGCATATATATATCACACACACCATATGTGCAGGGTGCGATGAGTAAATTGTCGCCATTATATATTTTAAATTTCACTTTTTTGTTTGTTTTTGATTCTGTTGACTGTACAATACAGTAGGGTCAGTTGGGTATCATTTGCAAGAAAAAAGCACCATGATGCAATTCAAACTCTGCCAGAAATTTGGGAACAGCAATTGTGCCAGAAGCTCCAATACAAACATTGGAGAGTGTTTGGATGTCAATTTGAGAACAGTGCAGAGGATTTGGAAAAAGTTGGATGAGCCTAATGGTGATTACAAAGGCCTTTGGCGTGATCACTAGTGAAGGTGATGTTATGCCTGCATTCATCTTCCCACAGGGCCTCAGGCTTGACATGGAGACTTACATAAAGTGCCTTGAGGAGGCAATGTTGCTCTGGGTCAAGAGGGTGGCTGCTAGAAGACACTATGTCTGGCAATAGGACTGTCTGTACCATGTCACACAAGTCATGGCTGCTAGACAATTTCTGTAACCACATCATCCTTTACATCTGGCCACCTACCTGCCCAGACTGCAAATAATTATTATGTGTGTGGCGCAGTTGAATGAGAGATCAACAAAACTCTTTGTAATACCAAAGATGAACTGAAGGCAAGGAATATGGCAGCATTCACCAATTTAAAAAAGGAAACCATCCAGAAGAGTTGCAGGAGATTCCAAAGCCATCTGGAAGCTTGAAACCAGTTGCAATTTTATTGAATAAATTTACTCTTTGGTATTTCAAGATATTTTTGTATAAGTTTGCTAAATATATCTGTTAAAATGAGATACCAGTGTTATTTTCATTTTGCATAATTTAGATGAAAATTTATCCATTGTACCCTGTACTTGCATATCACGCTACTTTTGAAGACCTAATTTTAAGGAGTTCACATCATACATGAGATAAAATTAGCACATGTACTGCTGGCCCTGGCTATACCGTTGACTAAACTATATATCTATATACTGTAGTCAAATTAGCTTCAAAATTAGGCCTTCAAAAAGGTTGCATGATACACGAGTATGTGTGTGTGTGTATGTGCATGTGTGCGTACATGATATATATACACACACACGTGGAATAACAATATATACATTTTTATATATCAAGAACAGTTTTGAAAGAAAAGACATATGACAAATTGGGAAAAAGTTCTTGTGGCATGCTGAAGTCCTAACAGATGAAATGCTTCAAAAACGTTTTCCAATTTGTTATATATAATTAACATGTGAATCCTGTCCTGAATTGAACATATGATCTGGATGTAACCAGACAAGTGATATTGCCACTACACTAGTATCCTGCTGCTTAAAAATACAGTAAAATTAATTTGGCAAATATTAAGTTAGGCAGAGTGCTATAATGATCCTCGGCAGAAATATTGATTCTTTGCAAAAGTGCTGACCCATATGTAAACTTTACAATCATTTTGGACTGAAACTATGTGAAATAAAAATAAATAATTCATTTAAAGATTTTTGCATTCATTTTTTTCTAGTTAACCCATCAATGTATGCCCAAAGGTTGACTGAAATCATCTTAGTAATCTTACAAAGGTCTCATCAGAGATATTTTATACCATTATAAACTTTGTGTATACTTTTAACTTAACATGTATTGACTAATAAATTATACTTCAACATGGTGTAATGATTTAGCAAGCTTGTCTCGCTAGATCAATGACTGAATAGCGAGTTCAATCTTCATATTTTGGGCTTGTGCCTATGCTTAGAAAATTTTTACCACACTTACCTTGTCTTGCAAAAATACAATAAAAGCTCTGGAACCTTTTGCCAAAGGAACAAGATATTTTGAGTGAAAACTGCTGGCATCAATTTTTTTCCCTGCAATCACTTGGGGAAGGTCTGCCATTGACCTAAAATAAAGAGAAAAACAAAGGTAAAAAAAAATAAAAAGGAACCCCAAAAATGGTGCCAAAAATATTTGATATTTTCTCTAGGATGAATAATGGTCTTAAACTCCTGAGTCACAAAGTCTGATTCCTTAAGAAGAAAAATAAAAATATGTTGCAAATCATAGTTGTATTGTATGTTGTTATATGTCTATGCTGGTTTGGGAAAGACACAAGTTACATTATAACAAATGTTAAGGAACAACATTTTATGGCATCAGGAAAACACACAATGGCTGGCCACTCATTTCCAAACACACCTGTCTGCTAGGGAGTGGCTAACCAATCTCTGTTGCAGATGGTTACTCAGGCACATTTGTGCTTGTAATTTTGTGCAGTGGAAAAAATAATTGTTAATTGTTAAGAATAAATGCAAACTGAATAAAACCATAAGGAAAAAAACTATCAAGGCTTCAATACTTACAGATATTTAAACGATTAAAAATTATTAAAGTTCAAAATACAAACATGCAATTGCACAAAAAAAAGAAAAAAAAAAAAAATTTATGCTCACAAGCAAAATCCTTATGACCAGCTGCCTAATAAGGTCTTAGTCTTCCACATCCAAACAAAACAGCTCTTAATCAAAAATGAAATTTATAAGACCTCTGAAGTTTGGTTTGTTGTTTAGTGGCATAGCAACACCTCTATGGTTTAATAGTTTTAGTGAAACAAGTCTTACTAATTAACTCGTAGCTGGGTGGAGAAGAGATTATTAATTCATACCTTTCCCAAGGGTATTTGCACATAAGTGAATATAATGAACCCAACAGGAATTGGAACTTGGCTCTTTGATTAACAATTCCGAGCCATTATCCATTGTATTGCCTGTGCATCCAAACTTACAGCAAATGGTATTTGCAAGCAGTGTTCCATCCAGATACTGACCAGGTTTGACATTGCTTAACTTTGGTGATTATACAGGAATTGGGGTTTCAATGTGACATGGCTATAAGCCAAACCTCTAAAACGAGCACTGCTAAAAAGGTACTTATTACAACTGAAAATGAGCACCCAAAAAGCATATTGAAAATGATCTGATCTCAATTTCTGCCAATAACAATTTGCTTTTTACCAAAGTTACTCAAATTTTATTGCATATACAGTCAACAACAAAATTATTTGTACACCCACCAATTTTGAATATTTTTATCCATTTCTCAGAATCTAATGTCCATATGATGCCAAGTTTTTTATGTTAATAAGCAAAAGAAAAAAAAAAAGGAAAATAAAAGAAACATAAAACTCAATGTTCAGACCAATAGGTTAAATGCAACAAATTTGACAGGCAAATTATACAAAATAGGAAGTAAAAAAAAAAAATATTTGTACAGTATGAAAACTAGAAAAATTGAACAAATTTTCATACCATTAATAGTCAATGGCATGGCCTCTCATCTTTATAACTTGCTGCAATCCTTTCCTAAAGTTTTTGATGAGATTTGAACAAGTCTTTTTTGCGATTTTCTTTGATTCTTCAATGGTTACACATTCTAATTCCTGAAGGTTTTTTGGTGTTTGACGATTTATTCGAATTTTCAACAGGATTCAAGTCAGGACTCATTGAGGGCCATGGCAAAACTAATCTTTTTCTGAAGCCCTGCAGTCACTGATTTAGACAATATGTTTACTGGAAAGTAAATCATTGACCTAGACAAAGATTTTGTGATGATATCCAGAATTTTGAATTCTTATTTTTAAGAGAAGTAAGCCCTCCCCCACTTGGTAGATTAGTATAACACAATCTTTCTATTTTAATGTACCATCTCTAATATAGCAGGGTGTGATTCGATGGATGAAGATAAGACGTGAAAATGTGGTTCTATAGAAGAAGGCTAAGATACCATAGACAGGACATGTAAGCAACAAGAAAAAATTTCAAGGGAAATAGGAATGAAAAAGACACTTGTACTTAGAAAGTTGAAATTTCTGGACCACATAATGAGGAAAGGTGGCTTAGAGAATTTAAAAGTTACAGGACATATTGAAAAGTAAAAGTGGAGAACTGCAAATAAGTAAACAAGTTTATGTAAATGGATGGCAGATCAGAAACTGGGAGTGATAAAAGAGAAAAAATGTTGCTTAGAGTTACAAAAGACAGGAAGTTGTGAAGAGCCACAATCACTTGCATCTAAAAGGACATGGCACATAGAAGAATTCAAATAAAACTTGATAGCTATGTACAAGCAAGGAAAAAAAAGAAGTCCTATCTGTTGTCCTATTAACAAACTAAACCAACGATAATCTTTGTTCATTCATTTATGATTAGTGAATGTCAGCTTCTAGAGCAGGTCAGTCAAAGAGATCCACCTCTTTTCCTATTCTTGCCTAGCTAAACTCCTAAGAAACATCAAGTTAGCAACCTTTCCACAGCAGAGATCAGATTTCACATGTAAATTTCCATCAATTTGTTATGAGATTGTACAAAAAAAAAAAAAAACAGCATAACCAAGTCAAATATAATGAATCTTTGTTGCTACAGTTTTCAGAGATCAATTAGGGACAAAGATTAATATCCAGGGGAAAATACTGAATTTTACATATCTTTATATTGTTTATTATTAAAAAGGAAAAAAAAAAGTAGTAATCAAAAATTTTTTTTTCTTATTTCAGGTGATTTTTTATAAGTAGCCTGACCTCTAGAATTAAACATATCTTCATGTTGCATGTAAAGTAATTTATATTAAATAAATTTTTTCCAGTGAATTTGAATTTATCATAGGTCACATTCGATTGGTTAATAATAGCAAAACCCACAAGTTTTTTTTTTTTTAAAGTATTCTGCCTTTTGAAATTAATCTTTCACTCACCAGTAGTTTAACATCGCCTGAAGAAACACATTTATGGTGTTAAAACATAATTGTAATTGTGTATCGATTTTTTTTATAACGCTTTATTATCCTGAATAATATTTAGCTCTACTATATATTGAGCACTCTTTTAAATTAAATGTTACATACAGTGGCATCATACTCATTTTGTTATATATACTAGCAGCATGGCCCGTGCTTGATTCAAAAATCGTACAACTCATACAGCAATCACTATCACTTGACTTAAAATATTTTGCCCTTCCTTGCCTTTAAAGGAGTGCCCTTTGCCATGCTGACATTGCTACATGCCTTCTTGCCTATCTCACACTGTGAATTTTTTCTAAGCTCTATACTAAACATTAAATCTGTTACAAAAAAAAAAAAAAAAGAACTAAGCAAAATGAACACAAAACGATCAGCTTTAAAAAAGGACTTGTAACTGGAAAAACCGAATGAAAAAAGAATGTTAACAACAAATACTTTTTCACACCCAATACAGTTCTGCAGAATCAATGTTGAGTTTAAGCAAGTGAATGAGCCAATTGGAGTAAAGTGCCATGCAGATTTAAATTTTTCCCACTTGTGATGAATGCAGCTATCGATTTTTTTTGCATGCTAGTTAACATTTGTATCAGTCAGCTGTTGGCTTTCACACTGGCCAGTACAAAATGGCTGCAAACTACATGAAAACTGCCATAGAAGCATGAAAAAAAATCAATTATTTCCACTATCGATGGGAGTTGGGAAATGCAAAGTCAGTCTTAGCCTTCCTGCTAACTTGGAGCATGTGCATGTAAATTTTGGTGCAAATCTGTCAAAAATTGCGGCGGTGCATTCGTTACACACACACACATCCTGCCTTTTATATATATTGTATTTTCTGTGTATTGGTGGATTTTGTTTAGTGGCATATCAAGCTCTATGGGTTATTTAATGCCGAAATCTAAATATTTTGAACACAATTTTATGGCTTCAGCTAAATATATTTTAAATGCAAGTGTATGCCCTCAACTACAGATAAAATGTATTATTAGTGATTTTACTATCAATATGTATTGTTGGCAATTTTTTTATATATAAAAATGTATTGCCGGTATTTTTTATTGTAAAAAATGTATTTTTATACTTTCATAGCATTTTGTTTTTTGTTAAGGGATTTACTATTTGCCCATAGCTGGGACCTTCACAGGTGCTGCCACTCTGGTCAGGGTAGAACTGAGAACAACAGCAATTATTAGGTGGTTCCATGCTTAAAGCCTCAAATCTCCTGATCAGAGGCCTATTCCTGTCTATTATTATAACCACTAAGCTATTACCATGGAAATAAGAGTGCGTACAGAAAAAAAATTCCAGTGCTAATGAAAAAGTCTGCATTCAGTGAATATAAGCACAGCTGTTGTGTACCAAATGTGAAGGACAACATTTGGAAGAGAAATAGAACACAAAGGTCATTTGTAAATAGCTGCTATAAAAGTCATTAAATAATTAAATTTTAGAAGAGAGGAAAAGATAAGAGAAGGGAGGAAAGATTTGGTAGAAATCTAAAAAGCAAAGAACTATATCTTTTACTAACATAGCTATCTTTTTGCCAAATTATAATGTTGACCGATTAATTAAATGAACATTATCCAGAACATAGAATTATTGTAAACACCATAATCTTTTCATAACCTGCATGCCATGTGCTTTGCAAGGGCTATATATGGTTTTGAATTCAGAGATATCATTTGTTTAAACTGGTTGACAAGAAAGGCTGAAGAGCCCAGTCTGCCCTACTATTTAACCTGGGACTATAACATTTAACATGTATGATTATCTACATATGGTAGATGAATGAAACTGAAGTCTATAAAGGATTATTTTTTTCAAATTAGCAAGGTTAATAAAAATGACATTCTGTTTAACACAACACTAAACAAAATTCACAATATGTAGACCATTCTGTCCTCTGGCTTTTAGGTGTCTGTCAGTCTAGGTAACCTTCAGAATTTTGAACTGAACCCTCAAAACGAATAATCAATTGTTCTTGTTCTGCTCTCCATTAGAGATATTTAGTCTTCTTTTAGTACTACTCAGTTACTACTCTCTCTAAAATAAAATGGTAACCTGACAGACACCTGGAGAAGGATGGAAGGCACAATAGCTGAAACATTCAGACAATACAATAGCAACAAAGATGAGGACATCTAGTTCGAATGTAAGTGATAACTTCTCATTCCCAAAATTCAGAAAGAAGCTATTTTTTGTTTATTTCTCATTTTGCTTTCTTAAAAAATTATAAAATGACCTGAACCATGTTATAAAAAAAAAAGAGCCTGAAATTAAATGAAAGACAAACAAAAAAAAAAAAAAATGAATTAACTGCAGCACAGTTCTCTCCACCCCCATATCTCCTCATTTGTCATCTGTTACATTATTATTGTTTTACACCCACACAGAATGACAATTCACACATCTGGTTAGTTTTCCTTTTTAACCTGTTTCTTTTTTACTATTTACAAAGCAATAACATCAAAAAACCTGTTGATTTGGACATTATTGCAGAATTTTGGTTGTCCACTGAAAAAGTAACAATAAGATGAAAGGAACTAATAATGAAAATGCCCCAAGATATCACAAACTAACTTATTTTCATATCAACACTCAGTAAAATTAATGCATCCAGAAAAAAACCAAAAAAACTATAGGTTTATAACAGTGGTAAATATTTTAGAACTGTGTGTACCATAGATTATTCAACTCAGAGTTAAGCCATGAATATTTTAGGACATGTTCACATTATGCAGGCATATGATCTTTATTTTTCAGATGATCTTCTACTGAATTTGGATAACTTGGTTAAACTTTCTTTGAACAAGATATAACACGTAAATTTATAAAACAGATTTCAAGAAATGTTTTCAATCTTTTATTTGTACCCTTCTTTGATGAAGAATGCCAATTAAAACTCAGTCTGCTGTCTTGAAACAAAAGTTGGGTGACTTTACCAATCTAAAACAATTATGACCAAATCCAATGAAAAATTTATATTTTTAAAACTGTGTAGTGAAAGAATATTTTTTTTTAAACCAAACACTTGCGGTCTATTCAGACAAAACTAGTTAAAAAATAAAGATTGTTGTAACTGGCATTGCCATTATTTGAAACAATGACATCATCACTATCTCTCAAATTATGCGTATAGCGCTGCCCCACGTTGTGTCACATCCAGTTTTGGTGGGGAGGTCGGGTAAATAAATATACCTGACATGAAGTCATCTTGGGACCCTCCCGTGGCTAGGGGTAGGGTTCCTTATAAATTTCATTTCAGGGTTTTTTTGACAATAAGAACATATTCATATACATACAAGTTGAAAATTTGGTTAAAAAAAAAAAAAAAAAAAAAAAAAACTCTTTGCAAATATATGATTGTTAAAAGAACAAAAGAACACTATCAAAGGAATTTTATTGAAATATTCGCTGTCATAAGATTGAAAGCAAATTCTTGATATTTTCTATTAAACTCCTGATACCAAACCTCAAGTGTTGAACAAGGAAAAAAGAAAAAAAAAAAAAAAAAGATAAAAAGCCATATTCAATGTCATAAAGCTCTGTTCACTAAGAAACTAGCAGTTACATTTAAAAACTAAAATATCAGTTATCACAGAATAATCATTTTTAATTAAGTAATGAATGAAAATTCCGTCAGTGCTGATTATTGAAATAACTTTATTTTAAAACAAAACAAAACAAAAAAAACAAAGGTGTTCAGAACAGGAGACTAAGTTACTAAGTTACTAAAGAAGAAGAAGAAGAAGAAAACACGAACTTAAAAAAATCATGTGATTATTATTACCGGATTTAAAAGAAATTGTATAAAGATACAGATGTAAATTAATTTAAACCAGACTTTAATTCCTAAGTTAAATAATAATCAAATATGGAAATAGAAAGAATTGTTTATGAAAATAAAAACAATTATTTAAATTAAAACTAAGTCAAAACTAAAATGAATGACTACGTTTCTGTTTTTACTTTTTAGTTTTAATAAGAATAGGAAGAGAACCTGCAACACGTTTTTTTACGTAAAACAAAAGACGTGTAAAAATAGTTTTATTCCCAAGACTTTTTTTAGAGTAATGAATAAAGGTTTTTTTTTCAGGAAAAAAAGCAAAAAAAAAAGCAAATAATAAAACAGAAAACTGGTTTCAAATTCAGTCGTTGGTCGACCTTAAGAGGGTTTTTTTTTGTTGTTTATTTTTATCTTCAATAGAATGTTACAAAATAAGTTACTTACAATTCATAAGCACTTTTCTATCATCATTTAAATTTTAAATTGAAAACTGAAGGGCTACTTAAAAAACAAAAAACACATTCATGTTTCTGCTTTATCATTGTGAGAGCAGAATAAATAAATTTGGAATTTGACCTTTTTTTATTATATCACAATTAATCACATCCAAGTTGTTAAAAAATGTTTAGCTTTTTAAATTGAAGTTGCAAAAAGAAAATTTGAATGTTTATGAAGTTTATGGCGGTCATGTTATTTACTTTGTAAATATATATTTTTTTAATTTTAATTCATAACTATGTATAAAAAATTAAATTTTAAAAATGAATTTACTTATTTTTATCTCAAAAAAACAATTTTCAAGTAAATTAAAATAAAAATCATAGATAAAAAAATTCCTTCAGGAAGGAGGTTAAATTATTGGATTCCATTTATTTTTTTTTAACACTGAAAGTGGAATCTATTGAGTTTTATGTCAAACCTAAATGATTACATATTTTGTTTTGAAATGTCTATTTTCAATTTGCTAACTCTCAGAAACAGTTGTCCCATTGCAATTGCTTTAAAATTCAGACAAGAAACAACAGAATCCAGTTTAAAACAGTAAACATTTTTTCATTGATTTACCTTAAGTCTTCGATTCTTTAGGTACGATTTGAAATAAGATTTTCTTTGAGTTTGAAGCACATAAAATTATTAAGCAGTATATTTTTTTAAGAAAGCAATCAGCTGGTTTTTACCAAAACCATAAAATGTTGAAAATGAAAGGCAGACTCAACCAAATGTATTTTTAATAAATGATTTGTTACTTGTAGATTCAAATGTAACAAAAAGGTTTTCCTTTCTTTGATTATACTGCGAATTTTATTTTTAATTTATGGAATACAAAATAACCTTTGCAAGCCTTTGCAGTTTTCGTAAGTACAGGAAATAGATGACAAAATCACTCAGACGTTAAGATTGAACGTTTTTTAAGAGACTTGCTCAAAACGTAGAGATCAGCTGAGAAACTAAAACGAACTTTGTTTATGTCTTTTGATTAATTAAACGAAAAAGATCATTTTTTTCCCTTAAGGTAAGCAAAAGGTCATATCTACACTTTGAACTTTTTTGGTCCTTCTATGACCAAAGTTCGAATGAATTAGACAAAGGGGAATAATTGCCATTTTCTACACATAAATAATATTAAATTAAAAATCAGTAATGTGGGTGGTCAAAGTCTGACATTGGGCCACAGGTCTAAAAAAATATATAACAAAAACGAAACAATAAAATAAAGTTATAACGTCTTTTTTACCTAGTTGGCGACCAGATCAGGGCTGGAACATCACCTCCATTTGCAAAATGAGATCCAGCACTTATTAAAAGTACTGAAAAAATAGAAACAGCCAGTATATTCATGTTTTTGTTCCCCCCGATGTCACAAGTGTTCAGACCAAACCTCAAAACTTTCAGTAGGCGTTGAGGAAGTCTTGTCTGCTAATGTATAAAACGAGATTTCGAACGAGACCAGGAAGTCATGTGACTGACGAGAATCTCGTGAGATTTGAGGTCATTGCGCAGACGCAGTTTTGGGCCCTTTTACTCTGAAGCCGCCATCATGGGTAAGCAATATTCTGAATATCTCTTCTAATTTTTAAATTAATTTTCATGGTTTTTGTACGATTTACGTATTCTATATGCGACATAAGTATTTTTAATGCATTAATTTCATAGGATCATTATATTTTAAAATTTTTTGAACTTTATTTTCAACAATTTCTTGCATAGATATGTTTCTTCCCGATATGCTACGTTATTTCTTTTAGGCTAGAAGTAGTTAAGTTTCATGTCGCTCTGGTTTGGAAAAATATTTAATATTAATTCTTTTTTTTTTTTTTTTTTCTTAAATCAGGTTATTTGACATATTAAAATTAATAATTCATATTTTCTTTTCTGTTAGTATTTCAGTTCCTTTTTAACAACATGTCCGCCTGCTACTAACCACGTGTGTTCCACTTCAAAGCGAATTTGATTATGAAATTTTGAAAAAAAAAAAATTTGTATTCAAAATAAATATAAATTTGACTTCACTTAACTGAGAACTCTTCTCGTGTTTTTTGTATTTCGGAATAAGTAAATAATAAAAATATTGTACGGGACATACAATGATCGTTGTTTGTGAAAACTGGGCGATATTTCTTTTATTTTTAAATCTTATGACTTTCTCTGGTGTTTCGTTTAGAAATCTTAAAATTGCAGACTAGGATCCAGAAACCAATTTTAAAAAGCATTTCTGATGTTAAGAAAACCTGAATATTCCATAAATAGCATTGAAAATATGCTGAAACCTATCGTTTAGGAGACTTCGACATTTTCTTTGTTGGGTCTTCGGCTACAGCCCGGCCGGCATGTAGTCTTTCCTCTTAATAACAAGCATTTGACTTTAAAACTTTTTTTTTTTTTTTTTTTAAATGAAAATTGGCTCCCGGACTCATCAGTCAGGAATCTGGGAAAGCGCTCGGATTTTTATTTATTTATTTTTTAAACCAGTAAATAAATGGTTAAACTTTCACGCAGTATTGGTTTCTTGGTCCTAATCCACAATTTTACCGAAATTTTACGTTTAAAAAAATCACTTTAGAAAGTTTTAATTAAAAAATTTTTTTTTTTTTTTTTTTTTTTCCTCCTCCTTAATCCCATATTTTCCTTTACTTAAATTCAGTATCAGTTATGTGCCATGTGTGATACACTCTTAGGCGATCACATGTCTTTCAATACATGACTGCCCCCCAAAGTAGGTTTCCATTTCTTTTTGCGGCAGACCAGTTGCCATCCAAGGCTATAGACCCCGGTCTGTCCTGTTTCAGTTTTTACCCATAGCTTCGTATAGCTTTCAATCTGAGCCGCTATCTATTCCACTGTGAAAATGGATCGTAATATTGAAATTTCTCTCAAGTTTAACTGGCAGTTTATTTTTTATAGCTTTTCTTTTTTGATAAAATTTGCATGTAAAGAAAATGTAATGTTTTATGTATCTTTACAAAGATACCATCCTTTCTCTTGTGTGGTAAGTTTTTATTTGAGGTCACATTTCTCTTTTGACAATCAGTGGAGTTCATCAGCTACAAAAAAAAGCATCATGGGATTAATCTAAAAAGGCTCTTTAAGTCATCTCCTTTTAGTGGCTAAGATTTTCTTGGCTGTGTTAAGTGTTTGAATATTTCTATCCTTGTATTAGAATAGTTTTCATGTAACGACCTACAATTCTTGTATCACAAAATAAGAAAAGAGTACTCCTTAACAAAGAATCATCTCAGGTGATCTTTATATATGATACACAAGACCAATGGGTTGCCATATACTATGATTCCAATAGCCAAGTCATTGGCATTACATCTCCAACTGGTGCAATAATAGTTTCTAGCTCCAACTAAGGCTAGAAACGATTGTTCCTGATGGCCTTTGGTGGATGACATTGCACAGGTCAAGTCAACTTTGCCAGTTTCAGGTGATGGTAGAATGTTCCAAAAATAATTGGTCATAGAAGCAAGCCTATAAAAACTATCAGACAGCAAATCACCATTAGAAGTGGAATAGAGCCACTCAAACTGCTCTGTAAGTCTTTTTCCGCGGTTGAATTATATGGTAGTTTTTACTCCTATTCAATTTTTTAAAATTCAAGACTTGAAGAGATTTTTAAGGCTCCAATTTAAGCATTTGTTTGGAAAATTGGCTACTGATTCCTTTTAGTTTTTTGTCTAACAACTTTCAAAGTTTTGATGTCAGTCCTTTTAGGCAAGTCAGAAATTGCATAAATTTGTGAAATTTAAAAAAAATACATTTGAGAAAGTCTTGATATTATAGACAAAATAACTTTTGTTGAATTCCTCCTCTCAAAATGAGTAAAGTTTAAGACTTGTACTGCCACTGGATACTTTTTTTATGGCAAGTTCAAGAATTTTTTTTTTTTTTTTTTTTCCCAATAAATTTTGCTTTCACCTGTACATTTGGAGACTTTTTTTAATTTGTGTTATTCATATTTTTCTCTTCTCTCATAATTGAACTGTGATCTTTATTTTTTTTATTTTTATTTTTTTTCTTCCCAGGTAAGCCAAGAGGTTTAAGAACTGCTCGAAAGTTGAAAGATCATCGTCGTAAGCAAAGATGGCATGATAATGATTATAAAAAAGCAAATTTAGGAACTCGGTATAAGGCCAATCCTTTTGGTGGCTCTTCTCATGCAAAGGGAATTGTCTTGGAAAAAGTGTAAGATTTCATTTTTCTTGCTTGTGGTGGGGAACATAGTTGCAATATTCAGGTTAATTTTAGAAATAAATTTTACATTATTTTGAAGTCTTCACTGAAACCAAATATTTTTCATGGTTATTATTTAATTTCAAATAGTCAGTATCAATTTTCTTTTTTCCTTGGATAGCCTAAATATTCATTTCAACCTCAATTATATGCAAAAATGATTGTTTTAAAATTATGACTTTTATTTTTCCTCTAGTGGTGTTGAAGCCAAACAACCAAACTCTGCTATCAGAAAATGTGTGAGAGTTCAGCTGATCAAAAATGGCAAAAAAATCACAGCTTTTGTACCAAATGATGGTTGTTTAAATTTCATTGAGGTAAATATTTTAAAATTTTAGGGTTGTAAAATCCTCGTCCGATGATGAATATTCTCTGTATGACCTGATAATTCCACAGACTATGAGGGCATACACCGGTTCTTGAGACTGATGGATGAGATTTTTTTCTTAAGAAAATAGTAGCCTTAATAAATCTTATTTATAAAAGCTTTTCTAATGTCAGTTTTATTGCATTTTTTTTTTATTTTCAGATTCTGAGCAGAGATTTAGGAAATCAGTAGTTTGGAAAAAGAAAAAAAATGATTTAACTTCTCCATAGTCATGCTTTTAACTAATTAAAAAAAAATCTACACAAGTTTCATCAAAATCTGACAATTATTTGATTTTTGCAAGAATTTACAAATCGATATTCTTTTCACTGGAATCTTAATTATGTGGACCACCGATGAAAAAAGAAATTCAAACATGCTAGAAAGGATTAGGAAATTTAATAAAATAATAAAAAGTACTTCGGTCTTTACACTTTATGACATTTTGATAAAGCATTGTTATCAAGTTTGGGACCTGCTTTTTATCATACTATTCTGTTTTTTTTTTTTTTTTTTTTTTTTTAGTGACAAAGTGGAGGTACCTATTCTAAATGAAAGTGGAAATTTTAAGTGTTTTTGGGAAGTTTATTTCTATATATAATTCATGGTGTTCAAAACGGGGGGGTGGTACTATTGCATATGTCTCCCTTTTAGAATAGAGCTTCAGTGGGTTGATGCTTGCTTATTGGCCTCATTAATTCCAACCTTACTTTCAGTCATTGGATAAAAAGAATAAAATGATACCAACTTGTCAAAATCTATTTCTAATGATCCATGGTTTACTGTCTGAAACTGCTTACCTGATGAAAACTTTGACGGGCGGACTTAAACTATTTTATATAGTCTGAAGAGTGTCACTTATCTGATGAGCATTTTTCATGAGGATTTAATCATGTATTTGAATTGCTAGATACCATTTTAATATTGACTAAATATATTTTTCTGGAAATAAATATATAGTTACTTTGGGAGCAAAAGTAATTAAGTAATTCATTCATAAATAAGTCCTGAAAATGTGAATTTTTTTTTTTAGTTTCCCAAACTATTAACTTAAAAACAAAATGCCAAAAATTCCTGTACTAATCTTTAGCCAACTTGCTGGCAGAAGAAAAACAAGATTTTTAACCAAAATTTCAAATGATTTAGAATTTAAAAAAAAAAAAAAAAATTAATGAAATCGAAATACTTTGGTCTTTCCTGTTAATAACATACATGATCTCTCTCTCTCTCTCATATATATATATATATATATATAATCTCATAAGTTTGGCACCATTATTTCTTGGTGACATGATGATCAAGTTTATCCGTTCTCTGAATCTTTTTGTGGATGACCTGGCACTGATCACCTGATAACTTTTGTTTTTATAGCTGGGAATGATTCATTAAAAAAAAATCAAATGCCTTTTGAAATATTGCTTTGTATTGTAAAAAAAAAAAAATTACAATATTGTTCATTCATATCATATTAATAAAAGCAATTAAGATTTATTTTCTAATTAATTTTACAAGAATTTCCAAATCAATGTTTTTCACTGCAAAAATATACAAAAATTTTGAATGTCCTAAAGCAAAAACTTAATCAAAATCCTTTCCTCTTAATAGCATTTTGATAAATACTTTTTTTTTTTTTTTTTTTTTTCTATCACTTGCTCTTTCTTTTCTCTTTTTAGCTAATCTTTGGGGTAGTGACTTAATATTTCTTGATTCACCAACTGTTTTTAGGAAGTTTATTTTT